CGGTCCAAGGTTGGAAAGCTTGATGGAGTCGAGGAAGACTGGTATCCAGCTAAATGCAGCGTGAAGGTTGTTCATGTTCTGCTCGTTTGCCTCCGCCGTTGCAAGAAGGAGCTGGTTAAAGACAGGGCTATTAAACACCTGCTCTACCACTGTGGCGATGGAAGGAGTGACGGCATTCATGCCATCCCAGTAGTCGATCGGTGACTTTTCCAGCAGCTGCTTCATGGTCGCAATTAGATCAAGGAAGCCTTCAGACTTCAGTGAGAGGTGATCAAGCATCAGTCGATAGAAGTCGCCATCAAGGCCCCGTAGAGAGTCCGTGATCAAGTCCCTGTCCATCTTTGCTACTATGAGCCGCATGCCGCCCCAGAAGAGCGGTACGATGGACAAGTCCAAGTTACTCATCTGAACCTTCATCATAACACTTGTGACGTAATCCCGTACAGCCCAATCCCACTCCGACTTTAGCATGTTCCTCTTAAAGGTTGACCATGACTCCGTCGCCCACTTATGCCGTCTGTCAACCCTGCTGAACAAGAATCGCGTCATAGCAGGGAGGTATGTCTGAACCTTCAATCGCTTCTTCGTCTGTACCATGTCGAATGGTGCATCGAAGTGTCGCTGGAGGAGTTCTTCGTTCCGTATCAGAGCGTCGCAGCTAAGCGCTTCAAAGAAGCCGTATGTGCATTCGTTCGGTAATAGTCGGACTGAGCGCGTCTTCGGTTCGGCTTTGCTGAGTATGTCGTTGGCATCGTCCAAGCCCTTCTGTATGCGACCCAGACATTGGTTGTCCACCACTTGTAAGAAGTCCCCGATGTTCTCCTCGTCGTAGGAGTCGATCAGCCGAGTTCGCCATTCCGCTCTGCTCTGGTGGAAGACCCTCACACAGACATCGCAGCTCTGCATGAGGCTGTTCAGCCGGCTGACCAGCCACTCCTTGTGCGGTGCTGCCTCCTCTCCGTCGAATGCCAGTATCTCGGCCGCCTTGAGCGCTGTCCATCTTCTGTCCTTGGCGGCTTCAAGCTTGAGCTTGCGGTCAGCGAGTTCCGTGGGGTCGGTTTCGGGCGGGTATGCCGCAACGTCTTCGTCGTAGTATACTGATCCGTCATCGCCGATTCGAGGGCAGAATAGATGTTGTTCTGCGGGTAGCTCTCGGAGCTCGCTGTAAGACACCAGGTTAGCCATCTCTGGTGTGGACGATGTAGCTGCTGGAACAACGGAGAGTATGTGTCGCAATATTCCAGGCAAACCTGACGTAAACGAGGTGATAAGAATGAAGCTTACTAAGTATCGGTACTTACTTTATCTTCTCGAGGATTTCCGCCATGATGCCTCACCCAGGCCCTTCCTGCTTAGGACGGCGCCCCGCTCACAATCTCTCTGAGAGATGACGAAGCGCAGTTCAGCATTCACTGTCCTCAGAGTCTCTATGCGAGCACAAAGAGCTACACTTGCGTCTATCTAGGGGATGCTATCTATCCTGTAGAGTCCGTCGCGCCCGTTCAATGCCCGGCGCAGGTGGTTGTAGAAGGAGAGAAGTTGCGCAGGCAGTCGAATGGTCTTATATCTCTGTCAAAGGAGCGTCAGTAAGAGAGCGCTTGCCTGGCTCCAAGGGGTGAGGGCGAGGTGAGGTTGCAGTGCGTTGGGCAGAAGAAAGGTCCATCACAGACGTCAGTGCATCAGAGATTCCCCCATGCAAACGCGACGCGGTCCACTAGCGCGCTCCACTTCCGCGTCCGAATTGCCAAGCCTATTAACCTTCCTCTTTCATCCCCACAGCAACTTCCGCACGTCACAAAATTGATACTGCTGGAGCTGAGTCTGTGTGTGAGGCTGAGTCTGAAGGCGATATTATATCGTGCCAGCGTTGAGGTTCTTAGCTTAGACATCCACGAGGCTTGCGAAGCCAGCACGCTTCAAAAGGTGGGATAGAGGCGACATTATGGACGATGGGCCCCGCGTCAAACGCAGAGAATGCGGGGAACAAGATTTCACGCGTACGGCACTCGACTAATGCGTGGAGATGTCTTCGGGCGTCTGAATCATCTGACCTGTACCTCTACCACCAGGCAGATCCACAACTCTCGGAGGCCAAACGCATACGAAGGCGACAGTGGCATATGATACGCACGCATCTATGTTTCAAGTTATTGATACTGACACCAGCTTGGTCGTGGCAAAAATTACATCTCACACCCCCTTGTTCAACAGGTCTTGCATACGGAATCGAGTACATAATCAGCATGAGAAGTGTCCAGAGGAGGGGTACAAATTTTGCAATGGTCACAGCCGGGTCAAGGCAGGAAGGACCACGGGGTATGGCCATTGCGACCACAGACGAGAGGGCATAAAGTAGTGTCAGAGTGGCTGAAAGATAAGAGCACAATGCACGCCGTTATCATTTCAAGCTTTGTTAGTATTCACTTCCCAAAGTCTTCGAACTCATCAGTACAGGGGGGACCCACTAACTCAAAGCCATCTCCGAAGCCGAATACAAACCTCCCATAATAGCCATGATGAAGCTGTTCACGAAATGCGCATGGAATGGCACACTGAATCATATGTACTTTAGTCAGCCATCGATGCACATGAAGAGTTAAACAGCCTTACTGAGATCTCGCGTTCCTGGGGCCATGGTGCAGCCGAGTGCAGAGATTTGACGCATGGATCGACATATAATAGTTTGCGTAAGATCTGGGACCCACCGTGTATTGTAGTATATCCGGCTCAATCTGTTTGTTCTTCATATATCCAATGAGTCTTCTAGTAGACATGAGCAACAATAAGAGTATCTAGGTATTGTGGTCAGGCGTTGCATGTTATGGATGGTGCTCTTCTCACTTTTACGGGGTGAATAAACTCTGGTATCTTAATCATCAACCAAGACATATACTTCAGAAAGCAAAAGCTATTCCGTACATATGGAACAATTGGGAAGAGTCGAATTCGTGTCGCGTTCTCTAACAATTCCCCGACGACTACTAGTAGAGGATGAGAGCATATCGCCGTAGCGTAATATGGAAAATTAGCAGAAAGCTAAATTGCGAATACTTCTATTTGCGCAATTGACTTCTAATCACCGTGTATCACACGATCCCACGAAGTGTACCTCTAATGCGTCGTCGACGAGCAATGCCAGAAATACAAGGCGTCAGCAATTCCACCCAAAACTCAAAGCCCTCCTGTCGCGGTAAAAGGAACTCAAGTCAAACATACAAATAACAATGTAGATCAACTCCTATAACGCATTCTTCCTAAGAGCCGGCATTAGCTCTCCAAGACGCGGGGACCGCTCAAAGAAGTAAAGAGGCCATCTACGGGAAGACATCCGCACCCGGGAGGCAAAATGACGCGTCTAGTAGCACAGAGGCAACCAATTGCCAGAAATACCATCGAATAATGATTTTTTCTGCAATAGGTACGGAAAGACAAGACATTGAAATCAAAAAGTCTCGAGAGGCTTATACAAGCGGTACGCAAACGACATGGAGGCTAAGTGCTAGTAAGTTCCACCATGTCGACCCGACGTACAGAGGACAGCGTACAAAGCGTGAAGACCTCAGTCGCACTACATCGGCACTATATTCATGGCCCGGCGTAGGTGTCCTTCGACGGAGTTCCGCGGTGCGGCCCGTAGTTGTAACCTTGCAGTGCAGTGATTTGCGATGCGAGAGAGCCGACTAAATTGGGATCAGCCCTATGACGACAGCTGTCAACCTTGAGGCCACCTGTATCTCGCGACAAACTTTCATTCCTCTCCAACTCAAAACACACATTCTCTTTTTGGTCATGTCAATGTGGGAGCGATATCGGAATCGCACGACGTCTTAGCAGTTACCTTCGTCATCTCGACACCGTCTTCACACTCGCACAGCCTCATTCGCTCCACTGTGGCGCTCTTTGCATCCCATCAACAACCTCTTTCTAGGTACCCCAGCCCTCGAGATGCTTCCGAAGGAGTAGGTGGCGTGCGCCTTTCGTATCCATCGGCTGATGTGTACTACATGACTGTCATTTGGTGCGACGTATTAGCCAGATGCCGCAGTCACGTAGTCATACATTTGGAGGGTATTGCCGTGATGGTGACCGAGTGTCTTTTATGGCCAGTGGTTGAAGCAACGTTATGGGTAGACGGTACCAGTGTTGCATTGGCTCTGCAAAGCTTCCCGGTACATCGAGTCTGAAGGATGTACATGGTTCCACGTACATGGTGTGATATAGGAAGCCGCGCTAGGCGAGCATGGTCGTGCGATTACGGATGTGACATTTCCTCGAGGGTGTTCTCGAGTCTCTAGTTCAGTTCAGCCGGTAGGCGACAAGAGCCTTGCTCCTAGCTCCCAGCCGTTATCGAGCCGTCATCGGTGTCGCGCATGAGCCTGGGGGCAACGTTGCACTTTACTTTTTACTGCGAAACAAACGTTGCAGTCCAGTGGAGAGAGGTAATAGGGTATCTCAGAGCAGTCAAGCGATGTGTGTGGACGTTAGTTCATGCTGCGGTGAGCCAGGTACGGTGGAGAAATCGAAACAGCGGATAACGCGAATTTTTTGTAGAAATCACTTCAAAGAGTGGTCCGCGGAGAGTTCAGGGTTTTGAGTTGTAGTGGCAAGCTTATTCTCCCAGAAAGGCAAGTTCGAGCGACGGAATAGGAAGCAATGCCCAGACCCGACTAAGCCCTCACGGATAGCGGCCCACGAGGCTAGCTTGGAGTGAATTAAGGTGCTGGATTGGACCGAGACTATGAGTAGAGTTATAGATCTGGTCTACACAGCGCCTGGTAAATGTGACAGGAGATGCTAGATATGTTGATCGAGAACAAACGACTGAGAATAAAGAAACCACAGACTGCGCCAATATCCACGTAAGACGTACAGTCGTCCGGGAGTGCAAGTGCATCCCCGCCAACATTGCGTGCCCACATCATATCTTCTCACTCGCTACACCGTCGCATGCGAACTCGCATACATGCACCTTCGTCTTGGTCGTTGAGCGACACCGTGATTACTTTTGCCATTATGTGGGTATCCCTATCCAGTTACTATGCGCCTTCCGAGTAGTGACCTGCTACCAAAGTGGTAGAGTATGTGTGTATTACGTTTAACCCAGCTTCTGGTCCTGGGGGTAGTGGCCACCAGGATGGCGGGGCATGCCTTGCTGCGCCATGGGGTACTGGTTTGATTGCTGTTGTTGTTGGAGATAGCTCTGGTAGTGCAGGGCAGCCTCGGGCGTCATGTAGGCTTGGGGCATGGGCTGGTTATTGGGCGGCATTCCGCGTGGCTGGCCGGGCGGCACTTGGGCGTGGTTGTCCTCTGGCGATTCGACAGTGTCGTTGTCGACGCCATTCGCGTCGCCGCTTGACGGCTCAGGGGCGTTGAGACAGGCCTGGGCGCTGTTAGTAATGCAATGCGACAGGCGCGTGTGTGGTTGCAGCGTACCTGGATGAGATTCTTGCCCTCAGGCTTGGTGACTAGCGGTTGCAGCTTGGGTGTGGTGAAGGTGTAGACGAGGCCAGTCTCGGAGACGACGAGCAGCAGCACTTGCGTGCCCGTCAGGACGGACAGTTCGTAGGCCTGAGGTGGAGGTTAGCGGAGCGCTCGGTGCAGGCAACGGTTTCAAGCGACACGGGAGCAGATGCACCACGATGCGCGCGACAAGGGCACCAACGTACCTTCTTCATGATGCCAGCTTTGCGCTTGGAGAAGGTGATGTGTCGACGCGACTTGTCTTGGATGAACTTGATCTCAATCTTTCTTCGCTCGCGGCCGGGCTTGTCATCGTCGTCGTCGTCGTCGTCGGCAGCGGCGCGCGCACGCTTGACGCCGCGGTTCTCCATGCCCATGGTGCCATTGCCGTCGTCGTGGACCGACGGCGACGCGTTCTGGTCGTGCTCGGTGATTTCGCTGGCCATGGTGGTGAGTCGCGACAAAGATTGGTTACCCGCAGTGTTTGGGGGACGAAGGCCCTAAGCTGAGTTGGGCCGAGTGTGGGGAGTTGGCAGGCGTTCTTGCGTGGTTTGGGCAGACGCGCAAAATGTTACAGAAGGAACTGCAGACAGCTTGAGTTGGGTTAGACTCTTAGGACGCCCTCAATAGGAAAAGGAAGCGCGGCCTGTTAAAAGATCGGGGCTGGTCCCTTTGATGGCGCAGCAGGAATGCAAGGAAAAGGTGCGCGGGGGAGGAAACGCTTGGTCGCACTGTGCTCGGTGGAAGGCACTAAATTGCTCGGGGGCCCGTGCTGCGCCAGTGGCTGGGGGGTGCTGGTCGAAGGGCTTGGTGCCGGGGAGCGTGACCTGGCGCGGCCGGACGCGCAGGAGACAAGAGAGAGAACTGGCGACGTACCTGGCAAGACGGCCTGGGGGATCAGGTGCGGCGACGTGCTTTGTTTTGGCGCGCCGTTGGGGAGCGTGCAAAAAGAGGCAGCAATGGTCTCGTGAACCCTGAGCTTGTGGAGCTTGGCGGGCACGCAGGGACAGACGGAGTGGTGCAGGTGTGTTATAGCCCGAGAGCTGTCTGAGGAAGGAAAGGGACGAACGGTATTGGGAATGAAACGGCGGGAGTGGTCAAGTATTTCTCTCGACGGCTGCTTTGGCTGCTTTGGTGCGGGCAGGCCCTCAACTATCCACACAACTGGGGGCGGATGCGCTTGAGCGCAACCCTGGTCACAGCTCTGAGTCGGAGATCGACAATTATTGCCCTGGCCGCCAGCCTCGCTCGCCGTCGTCGCGACACGCATGAACTGGCAGATTGCTGCGCTGCGCTGCCGTCGTGCTGATACTAACCTTGACCCCTTCCCACTAGATTTTGACCTGTCAGGTCGCTTTTGGAGATGAATAGCAGCGGCCTTTCCACATGAAAAGTCCGCCGTCCCTCTCAGGCCGAGGGCTGCGCTAGAGGCAGCTGAGCAGGCCCCGCTGTTTCGTCTCATGTTGATTGGTGGGATGCCGCCGCTAGTCCCGCTCAAGTCAGATTGACGGTCAACTGGTGAATGTCGGTTCCCACTCCTGTCCGTCTTACAGTTCACACTACCCAGGCTACAGAAGACAAGAGACGGGCAGCAGACAGGCATCCGGATGAGATGCCAAACTCTCCCTCCCGCTGCTCTTGTCCATCCGTCAAACATGCACTTCATCCCACTCCAGACTGTCCCCAAGACCGTGGTGCTGCGTGGGTCGTACTGGAAGCCGCGGCTGCACCAAGCCAGCACCAGGCAGGCACCTCCCTTACGCACCTTCCCCGTTTGATCTCGCTTCGCCTGCAGCGACGGTCTAGCCTGCTCCCTCGTCCCGCACGCCTGCGCTGTTGGTGGCGGCCTGCGTGAGGCAGCAGCTTGGTACTCACCACCACCGCGCCTTGTGACAGCCAAATGCCGCGGCTCCACCACTGCATCTCAGATAATTCCTGCTCAATGTTCCAAACTTCTCGTCGCAGCATCCTCACGCCGCGATCCACTCGTCTGTGGCTCACCGACGTCGCAGCGCCAAAACATCGAACCACTATGCCCATTCGCGCCCGTGATTGGCTGCCCACAATGCTCCAACACTACTGAAACCACGCACGCATCGCCGTGGTCCAACTGCGACGCGCCTGCGCAGTGCTTCTTAATGCTCAAGGCCCCCGTGTCCCCAATGCCATGCATTTTCTGCGCGAGAGCTGCTCTTGCTACCGCTTTCTCTTCTCTTCGCTACTTTCTATCTAATAATCCGCGTTGATCGCTTTGATCGACGTAGTTCACGAGAGTACGCCGGACGGCTCCGCTGCGCTCGACTTCCATTCTTTGTCCAATTGTTCCTTTCTCTCCAGTCTCTTCCGTCAAATCGCAATACCGTCAAGATGCCGACCAAACTGATGATGGCCTTTGTGGGCATGGATTTCCTCTTCGCTGGATGTGGAGGACTGTTGCTGGGCTTCTCCCTCATATCTGAGCAATCGATGCGTGCCACTCCGACCGTAGACAACGTCACGCAGAACCTGCTGCTCGGCCAGTGTCCGTTGACAGGTACGACTTCTACAAGCGGGCGATGAGTGTGGTGTTGAAGGATCCGATATTCTGGCACTACTGTGGCGAAGCATCGTCCCACGCATCGCCTGTGAACACGCAGTCTCAAGAAACATCAACTAACAGTTCTCCAGCTGGCGTGGTCAATGCCATCTTCGTTTTCGTCACATTCCTGCTGTCTCTCCCTGCGCTCTTCCTTCCAACAAACCGAGGCTGGCTTCGTACTCAGGGCTGGCTAGTCGTCATCTGTGCAACATTCACACTCGGACTCGGTATCGCCATCTGGGTGGAAACCCTACAAACCCGCACCAACCTCAGTGTGCTTTGGGGACGTGAGTCGCCGCTTATTCAGAGTCTCCTGCAGCAAAAGGTGAGTCCTCCATGACTGGCGTCAGCACTAGAAGCCCATTTTCCGCACGTCCACGCCGGTCTGCACACAAGCTGACGAAGAACAGTTCGACTGCTGCGGCTACGTGAACTCGACTACACCTCCGTTCGTCCAGGACAGCACATGCCAAAACACCCTGGTCGCCGCTCAGAAGGGAGGTTGCATCGGCAAGTTCTCCTCATTCGCCAACACGTACCTGGACCGCGTTTTCACTGCCGCCTTTGGCATCGTCGGCGTGGACATGATCCTCGTACTCTGCGTTGCCATGGTCCTCAAGTACCGCATGGAGCAGGAGCGCTACAGACATATTGACGAGAAGAACGGACTTGGTGGACTATAGTCGATTGGATGAATCAGAAATTAAGAAAAAGAAGAGGGTTTTGGAAGAGCCGTCAGCGAAGCCAACGAACGTACATGTCCAATCGAACGACTCTTTCTTTCCCTCCATCTCCATAGTCTACAGCTGGTGATGTGGAAGTAATGAAGGAGACTCAGCAGCGCTGAGACTCCCTACGACTGGCTTTGTTGGTTCCATTCAGCTTTGCATCGTTTCTGCACTTAGCGTTCTTTGTGTATATAGATCTGGATACCACGCGTTAATTTAGATTCGCGACCCGCATGGAAATAGTATATGAATCTCATCGTTGACATCACAACTGGACATAGTCATGACAATTTGCCGACTCTTCCATCTCCAGCCCACCAACTCGCAACCTAAAACACCACCCCCAAACACACTTCAAATACCAAAACAATCAAGCCTCCCCAAGCCCTGACTACACCTGTCACATTCGCCGTCCCTACGCCGTGGCCAAAGCCCGCTAATCCGCATTCTCGTCGTATGCAGCAGTGCATTTACTTTTACAAGGACCATCCCGCAAAGCCGCCAAACCGTTCATCGGCAAACGGCATCTAGTTCAAACGCGGAAACTGCTATCCGAAATAATAAGAAATGTTACCGAGACCAAGGATACCTGCATGCATGTGGTGGCAGAACGGGGCTAGCTGTATGTTTTACCACCGGGATTATTTCAGGTGTGGGTTTGTATGGGGATGGCTGCCGCGATGGTTTGTAGGCTTCGGCATGTAGGCTCGATATGCGCGACATTTTCGGTCGCTTCGTTAGGGGTGGATGAGGCGTGTGGATCGGATGAGATGTGTCTGCGCGTATACGAGACAGATGGAAGTTTGGTTACTTCGTACCTAGGTAATCTCTCAAACAGTCGCGCTCTTTTCAGGATGCGCGAAATCTAGCCCTGGAGAGGTCCCCATTCCCTTCCTTCGCTTCGCACCCTAGCCGAGGCCGTTCCCAGCTTTTCCACGGTACGCAACCTCCTGGCCCGCACATGTTCCGTCAGTAACCCATCACACCGCCTCAGATAGCGAGTCAGCATTCTGCATGCGCCACAGCTCTCTCTTTCTCTCTCTCTCATCGTACATGTTGATGATTTATTTCCTATTCGCCCATGTCGCCATGTGCATCTGCCATTCGTGAAGCGTACCCGTGCCGCCTGCCCGCATTGCAATCTATCGGCATTGCATGTACGAGTATCTCTGCACACGTGTTGTTTATGAGCAAGACCTGCGGGTTCTCCTCAGCCAAGAACCCGCCTCACGCACGCACGTACAGTAGTTAGATGAGTAAGCCGCCTCGTCGCCCCGCCATGCAATGTGACAGGAGGAGATGAATTTCTTCTTGTGGGCCGCGACCGAGCATCCTCACGGATACAACTGCGCGCATGATTTCTCTCTCCTGTCTAGACCCTTTAGCTAAGACGCTAGTTTTCGAAGGATTGCAGTAGATGAAATTGCATGGTTTTCTCGCTTTGGGTAGTCTGCGAAGACGACGGACGCGCTTGGATGGGACACGCCGGTTTGGGTTCTCCTGTAGATCGCCCCCTGAAGTCGTCGCGGCGCGGAGAAGGGCGCCAAGTGCTGTGCCAATGGTCATGTGAACTTCGCTTTCACAGATGCGTTACAAAACTACAGGCTTGTGTGCAGTCCACGGGTGTAGTATGATGTTTTCCAATATGATCTCGTATTATCATTGCGTTCCTGTATTGACAGATCATGTCATATTTATTCTCAATATTTTCCAATAAAAGTTCGTCAAAATGCCAAGAGTAATATTGTCTCCATAATCCAGATACTTTCCACGAGAGGTAGGTTGGCATGGTATTGTTTATTGAGGCTGATACGTTGTCAATGCGAGTGCTGTTGCATTATCCCAACCTGACTCCACAGTAGCATCTGTATAGGGCCTTTCAGGCTCTGGAAGCATTGGCGAGTGAGACCGCTACGTCGTCCTCTTCGTCAAAGATAGACTTCTTCGGCGCGTCTTTGCTCGTGCTTTTGAAGAACCTTCTGAGATTTGGCTGTGTGCGTTCATCTTCATCACCAAAGACGTTGTAGACCTTCTTCCCGCCTATCCGCACAGCGTGCTCTAGTCTTGCGCGTAGCCTCTCTATAGAATCTTTGGCGTCCATGATGGTAAGATCCACCGCAGCGCCAGCCTCAACGATGGAGTTGCTGAGGAGCTGGAACTGCCGAGCAAGCGCATCCACCTCGTTGTTGAAATCTTTGACCTCAGATGACGCTGGTACTGGAGCTCTGACTGGAGACGAGCCGAATTCCGACGTTATTGGACTTGATAGGGGTTGATACGGGACGTTCAATAGACCAGGCCCAATGGCAATATCAAGCAGAGTCAAGCGTGCGGTGAGGTGTTCGTAGTCGGTATCCTTATCTATTTGGAACTTCGAAGACCTCTCCAGATATCTGTGAATCATGTCGGGCACCTTGGGATCTGAAAGTTCTACGTCGACTTGTACTGGGTAGATTAATAATGCGAGGGCCAGGTGACGTTGTAGATATGCCGTCAATGGAGAAGTCGTTGGGAAAGACCTGACTAAGTTCCTTTGAAGCAGAGGATGCGTTACTTTTATAAGTAGTTCAGAGATGATATCGTTAAGCTGTGAAGAGATTAGAGCCTGGATATCGTGGTGTGGTGGAGAACACCCTACGGTGGAGGTCATTTTGTGATTATCAAAGTTGCATATGAGAGCTTCCATAGCGTCCTGGATGGCGTGTAATGTGTGAGCATCTGCAATGACTCGGTCATCTAGACAAACGTGGCAAAGTATCAAGAGTGCGCGCCTTCGAACTTTCGAATGTAGCCTGTGATGATCAGCAAAGTGCCGTACATGAGAGCAGTCTACCTACAATGGCGCTGCTTTTTGAAGTAGTCTGGCGACAGAGATCAATGACGGAGGAAGCAAGACTTTGGTTTCGGTTCGCGGCACAAAGATCGGGACTACTTCAGTATGCGCCTTAAGGTGTGTTGTATTGGCCCCCATTGCCCCGAACAAAGAATCTAGCCTGTCATTATCAAGTAGCGTGCGGACGTGCTTGTTGTGAGGTTCTGATTCCAAGATCTCGATGTATCTGCAACTAAGTGCCTCATTCCGGCTCTGGGATACTACAATTCTTAGCAGAGACATTGCCAAGTTTATGTGCTACGCACTGTACTCAATCATCCAAGAAGCTAGCTCTTGGGGCAGTTCTTGTAGTCGGAAGATTTGTTGTGCGAAGCCGGTCATGAAAGCCTGATCTCTGGCGCGAGAGTCTTGAGCATGTTAGCAATGGATACGACCCATCATCATGGTGAGCAACCCACCTTTGAAGATCGAGGACCATCTACATTGAGGCAGGCTTTTGATAGGGAATTTGGGCTCCACTCGTTTTGAGTCTGAATCGTCTTGGAAGAAACAGTAGACGCTCTGCATTTGTGTAGCATTCGTTCTCTGCATGGCCTGAAGGAGGCGATGCGCTCTCTCTGGGTCGTCGTCGTCATCGTCTACAACTTGGCCAAGTAGTTCCTCGTTGAGCGCCAGGGTGGTATCTGTATGTTCTTCAAGGGACTGGTCCAGAAGCGCGCTGTGCTCTTGGATCTGCAACTCTGTCTCGCGATTCTTCTGGGCTGTCTTTAGAAGTGTATCGAATTTGGTCTTGTTATCCTTGGCCTTCTTGGTTGGCTTTTGTAGACCGTTCTCTTGGTCTTCGGACATGCGCTTAGAACGTGTGGTGGTGGTCGTGGTGGTCGTGACGATGGTCTTGACTTTGGGGGTGGGTAAACCAAAGTCAAGGTCTGGGAGAGAATCATCGTCCGAGTCGAGAACCACCTGCTGGCCATTCGATGTGGTGCGCTTACTTGCGCCCGAGTTCGCCGATGTCTGAGAGGGGTTGAAGGGCGGCGCATCGGCACTCGCAGCTCTCATTGTAGAAGGCGCGCTGGACACCGGTGGGTTTGACGAGGAAAGCGGGGTATGGACGGCATGTGAGTTTGCGTCCTGTGGCCCTCCAAACGAATTCGGAGGGTTTGACTGACGGGCAGGCACATTGTTTGCATCTGCAGTGGAGATGCGGTTAGCCTGGGGCAGCAATACTGGTGGGGTGCGAGTACTTCTCTGAGGCAGCGTGGTTTGCGGGTTAGCAGCAGGCGGAGGGGTTCTGGAAACTGGTGAGAAGAAGTCCCGGATGCTTTTCTTTTGGGGTTTCATGGCGGAGAATTATAGAGGGGTGGTGATGTAGATGAGTGGGGGTGGCCAGCGGTGCAACGCTGCGACGCGTGAGGCGCCTTGAAGCCGGGAATAATTCCACAGTTCACAGCACGCTGTCACGTGGTAGGTTGACGAATCAACCCGGAGCTAAGCATCTGGGCGCATTCCACCGTGGACGCCTCGCTGCCTGGCGCAGGGCGTGTGGGCGGGCTAGATTCTTCGCCATTGACGACATGCATCGGAAACCGAGTCGGCCGGCATCCGAATGTCGCTGGACGGAGGTCAATTTCGACCTGCAGAAATGTAGCTCGCATCCGAGCCATGCCGCCCTCGCAAAGTGGTGACGTCCGTTTCAACGGTTTCGCATTGCTCTCGCTGTGCTGGGCTGTGTCAGGTCTGAGGGACCAAGGCGTGCACCGTTAGAAGTGTTATATTAAGCACATGGATGTGGCTCCAGATGCCTCATTAATCCGAGTGCCAGCTGTGAAAAGTGACTTGTACGAAGCACGGAACTGAGGATCTCCCGGCTACGCCTTGCACAGCGGAGTCGAGGGACAAGAGGGCTGAAATGACGCTCCACTCGACCTGCTTAGAAGGGCTGCTGACTGTGGTCCGCGGACACTCCGCTATGATTAGTCCATGGACTCTTACTGCTGACATGCTGGGGCCATGCGTTGCAGAGGGTGTGCTCTCCCTCTGAGGCACTGTTGCCGAGAGCATGGAGATGGGGATGTGCACTGTGTCTACTGCCTCTGTGCCGGAGCGTCCAGGCCACGCGTCGCCAACGCGCGCGACAGAAATAAATGCTCCTGTGTTGGTGCGTCTAATGATCAGATCGCAGTGCGGGTCCTCCAAGAGCAACTAGCCTCGCATCTTGTTAAGACCGTAGCGGCCGGCCGAGGGAGTGTGAGGCGTGTGCTTCCCGCGCCGATGCTTCTGTAAGCATATGGCAAGCATCGCATCCATCCATTCATCACTGTCAGGGTCTGCGCAGTACTTGCCGCTCCGCTGTTTCCCCTCGCGCTGCTGGGCCTCATCGTGTACTGACGACACTGCACCCACTAATCAATCGCCCGTCGCATCGCCTGCCTGTCGCTCCGCCCCTACGTGCAAGTTGGCGTCCAAACCGCTGTTTCTCGTCCGGCATCTTTTAATATCCGAATACACGGGCGCCCATCTGTTCTCACCCTCCGCGACAACAACACCACCACCACCCTCCCACCGCCCCTCAACACCCGTCCGGCACTACATGCACTGCACCCATCGCCACGTACCCGCGTCCGACACGATCGAATTGGCCTGCCGCGCAGCGTAGAGCCTTCCCGGCTCAGGCCGTCGCCGCCCTCGCACCGCCGCAGCCTCCCCAACGACAAGCACCATGACGCTGCAACCCTACCAGGAGCCCAATGAGACCGAGGTGTCACATCCGCAGAAGCGCATACGTTGTAAGTGACACGCACCCGCTGACAGTCCAGAGGTGAGAGCACGCGCTGACGGGAGCCATGCAGGGGCAACACATCGCGCAACCGGCATCAAAGCGGCCAACAAGCGACACTCGCTCAAGGAACGCCTGCACCGGCGCATAGGCTCTGGCGGAGAGAAGCGAGACTCGCTGGGCAAAGAAGGCGGGCCTCCGCTCGACCAGTCCCCTGAGAGTTCAGATGCAGGCGCCGACCAGGAAGACTCCGGCCGCAGAGTCTACTTCAACGTGCCCCTGCCCCAAACCGAACGCGACGACGAAGGCCAGCCCCTCGCACACTACGCCCGCAACAAGATAAGAACCGCCAAATACACGCCCCTCAGCTTCATACCCAAGAACCTGTGGTTCCAGTTCCACAACATCGCCAACGTCTACTTCTTGTTTATCATTATCCTGGGCGTGCGTACCCGTCCCCTCTGACACTCCCGACACCACCCAGGCTAACCCAACTGTCTAGATTTTCTCAATCTTCGGCGCCAGTAATCCTGCGCTGAACGCAGTACCCCTCATCGTCATCCTCGTCGTAACGTCCATCAAGGATGGTGTAGAAGATTGGCGGAGAACCGTCCTCGACAACGAGCTAAACAACGCGCCCGTACACCGACTCGTCGACTTTAACAACGTAAACACGGCCGAGGACTCAATATCGCTATGGCGGAGGATCAAGAAGGCTACCACAAAGGGCATAATCTCAACATGGCGCTTGATGAAGAACGCAAAGAGCAAGAAGGGCGCAAAGGGCAAAGGCGGCGACGACAGTGCTGCCGATGGCACGCGCCCCTCGCACGAGACCCGCAGAGCATCCATCGCATCGCACAGGGAATCCTACTTTGGCGGCGAGAACGACATTCAGATGACACCCGTGCCTTCTCCGCTACCAGGCCAATCCCCAGCGCAATCCCCTCCATTGACTTCCGGTCCAGGAGAAGGAGACAAGATCCGTGGTGCAGACGCCAATCCCGGTGTGCAAAAGAAATTCTGGGGAAGCGTCCTGAACCCGAACAAGACGGTCCCGGAAAAGGCACGTTTCAAGAAGGACGCCTGGAAGAACGTTCAGGTTGGCGACTTTGTGCGCCTCTACAACGACGAGGAGATCCCCGCCGACGTTATCGTTCTCTCCACCTCTTCCGACGACGGCGCGTGCTATGTCGAGACGAAGAACTTGGACGGTGAGACGAATCTCAAGGTGCGCAACGCACTGCACTGCACCCGAGAAGTGAGACACGCTCGACACTGCGAACGCGCCGACTTCGTCATCGAGAGTGAAGGCGCCCACTCGAACCTATACTCGTACAGCGCGGCCATCAGATGGCAACAGCACAATGCAAAGGACCCTGAAGCACCGCCGTACGAGATGGTCGAGCCCATCTCCATCAACAACCTCATCCTCCGCGGCTGCCAACTCCGAAACACTGAGTGGGTACTGGGCGTTGTCGTCTTTACCGGAGAAGAGACAAAGATCATGATCAACTCTGGTATCACGCCTAGCAAGCGAGCCAGGATATCAAAAGAACTTAATTGGAACGTTGTATACAACTTTTTCATCCTGGCCGCCATGTGCCTCGTCTCTGGAATAGTGCTTGGAGTGACATGGGCCCGGAACGACACCACCCATTCCTTCTTCGAGTATGGGTCCTACGGAGGTAACCCTGCTACAGACGGTGTCATTGCGTTCTGGGCTGCCGTTATTCTCTTCCAGAATTTGGTTCCCATTTCTCTTTACATCACCTTGGAAATCATTCGTACGTTGCAGGCCCTCTTCATCTACAGCGACATCCACATGTACTACGCAAAGCTCGATTACCCATGTACGCCCAAGTCTTGGAACATATCCGACGACGTGGGTCAGGTTGAATACATCTTTTCGGACAAGACGGGAACACTCACACAAAATGTTATGGAATTCAAGAAGGCGACCATCAATGGTGTGCCCTACGGAGAAGCGTACACAGAGGCTCAAGCAGGTATGCAACGCAGACAGGGTATCAACGTCGAAGTGGAGGGCGCCAAAGCTCGCGAACAGATAGCACGCGACCGGGTGCGGATGCTCGAGGGGATCCGCAAGATGCACAACAACCCCTACCTGTGGGACGAGGACCTGACCTTTATTGCCCCGGACTACGTCGACGACCTCCGTGGAGACTCTGGAATGGAACAGAAGAGAGCCAACGAGGAATTCATGATCGCTTTGGCCCTCTGTCATACTGTTGTTACCGAACGCACTCCAGGCGACCCACCGAAGATCGAGTTCAAAGCACAATCGCCCGACGAAGCCGCACTTGTCGCGACTGCTCGCGACTGTGGTTTCACATTCGTAGGCCGCGAAGACGACCGTCTCGTCGTCAATGTTTTGGGAGAAGAGCGCAAATACCAAGTTCTGAACACTCTGGAATTCAACTCCAGCAGGAAGCGCATGAGTGCGATCATCAGAATGCCCGACAACCGAATCGTCCTCTTCTGCAAGGGAGCCGACAGCATGATCTACTCGAGATTGATCCCCAACGAGCAGCGACAACTCCGTGCCGACACCGGTGAACACCTGGAAATGTTTGCACGAGAAGGACTTCGAACACTGTGCATCGCTCAAAGAGAGGTTTCTGAAGAGGAATATCAAGAGTGGAACAGGGACTATGACATCGCTGCCAACGCTATCCAGGGGCGCGAAGATAAGCTGGAAGAGGTCTCCGATCGCATCGAAAACCACTTGTGGCTGATCGGAGGAACTGCCATCGAAGATCGACTTCAAGACGGTGTGCCAGAGTCGATTTCTCTTCTCAGTCAAGCTGGTATCAAGCTGTGGGTCCTAACGGGTGACAAAGTTGAGACAGCCATCAACATTGGTTTCTCTTGCAACCTGCTCGACAACGACATGGACCTCATCATTCTCAAGGTTACCGATGACAACATTGGTTCCGTGGAAGCCCAGCTTGACGAGAAGTTGAAGATCTTCGGTTTGGAAGGCTCGGAAGAAGAGCTAGCCGCCGCTCAGAACGATCACGAACCTCCACCACCTACACATGCCATCATCATTGACGGAGATACTCTTAAGCTGGCTCTAGATGATTCAGTAAAGAGAAAGTTCCTTCTTCTGTGTAGGCGATGCCGATCCGTTCTCTGCTGCAGAGTCAGTCCTAGTCAGAAGGCAGCTGTCGTCAATATGGTCAAGACCGGCCTGGACTGTCTCACTCTTGCTATCGGAGACGGTGCCAACGATGTCGCTATGATTCAAGAAGCACATGTCGGTGTCGGTATCGCTGGTGTTGAGGGACGCGCAGCCGTCATGTCTTCTGATTACGCCATTGGTCAATTCCGCTTCCTCACTCGTCTGGTGCTTGTTCATGGTCGATGGTCGTACCGCCGACTTGCAGAGACGATTGCCAACTTCTTCTACAAGAACATCATCTGGACGTTCTCTCTCTTCTGGTACCAGATTTACACCAACTTCGACAGCCAGTATATCTTCGACTACACGTACATTATCTTCTTCAACTTGGCGTTTACATCACTCCCTGTTATCGTCATGGGTGTTCTGGATCAGGATGTCGATGATAGAGTATCTCTGGCCGTTCCACAGCTGTACCGTCGTGGTATCGAGCGGAAGGAATGGAGCCAGCCGAAGTTCTGGTAAGTACAGTATTCCCAGAGCGTATGAAAGATTGCTAACATTTTCCAGGGCTTACATGGTCGACGGTATCTACCAATCCGCGGTCGCTTTCTTCTTCCTGTATGAGATCTTCGCACCCGCAACTTTTGCGACCTCCAACGGACTGGACCTGGCCGAATTCCGGCGCATGGGTATCTATGCCGCGACTACTGCCGTTTGCGCTGCCAACATTTACGTACTTTACAACACCTACCGTTGGGATTGGCTCATGGTCCTCATCGTCGTCATCAGTACTCTCTTCATCTGGTTCTGGACTGGAGTGTACACCTCCTTCACGTCAAGTGCTCAGTTCTACAAAGCTGGTGCCGAAGCATATGGTACTCTTAATTTCTGGGCTTACGTCCTCTGCGCTACGATAGCGTGTTTGCTTCCGCGCTTCATTTTCAAGGTTGTGCAGAAAATGTACTTCCCCCTCGATGCGGACATTATCCGAGAGCAAGTCAAGCAAGGCAAATTCGACTACCTTAGAGACACTGACGCCTACCTTCCTCCACCGCCCGAGAAGGTGGCTGGTGAGTCAGACTCTAACAAGTCGGAACCCGACGCTACAAAGTACAAAGCCGCTAACGCCGATGCTACCGACGAAGACGTACGTCCCATCTACCCACCATCAGTCGCCCCGACGGCTACGACGCATAACCCAAGAAGCCAAAACGGCAGTAACAGCACCGACTACACCTTCCGCCGCTCTACGGAAGGTCTTCCACCTGCACCCACAACGGAAGCTCCTCCTCCTCTCGCCCACCGTATGTCGACCGATTATCGTGTGCGACCGAGCTTCGATCGTGCACGCATGTCTATGGACCGTGTACGCCCTAGTTTCGAGCAAAGCAACGACTTTACATCGGCAGCTATGTTGACACGACTTGAGTCTTCGCATAGCCGTAACAGCTTCCAAGGCCACCGGAACAGCTACCAACACGGTACTCCCAATACACAGCCAGCGGTCATGAGCCGGTTACGCAACGCGATACGCAGAGCAACAATAACACGGGACGAGGCCCCGGAACATCTTCGACAGGATCAAGGAGATGTACCGGAAGTGCCCGCAGTACCCAAGAGCCCGCCACGGAGTCCACGGAGTCTACGGAGTCCACGGAGTCCGCCCAGGTAGTACCTGCAGCGTCGGTAGGACGAGTGGACTTGTTTGCATACCGCGCCTCACTGTTTTCCTACTATGACGAGCCGTTACGACTCTTTTTTGTAAATAAACCATCATATTTCTCTTTCCTGTCACGTTTCGCATTACGCTAGCGATCTGACCATGTTCCTCATCTACACATTACTACTACCACTACTACGCTTTATTTCCTGTCTGCGGTTTTTTTCTCCCTTGATTAGAGACTGAATGGGCGTTTTCGGTTTTGCCTTTTCCTTGCATGTATAGCTGTGATTCCCTCATTGAGCTTTCCTTGTTGTACATCTTTCTCTGTCTACACTGATATCGGAGCCATGGAGGAGAGAGACTCGATATGCTCATTGTGAGATGGATGGAGAGATAAGTGTTGATGAGCATGGCTGTAGATATTTTAATGATGTGTGGCTGGCCTGGCCTTTAGGCTAGCCTCGACGTTTCACAAGATTGCGTTATGCGTGGACGGTTCGTGAGATGTGTGATGGAGTCAATGGGCCTCATGACCCTCAAGCTTTCAATACTTTCTTCGGTCTGAGTCTGAACAGTGATCGCACACCTCAGACTCATCCAACTCCCACGTGGCTTCCTTTCCCGACTCTCGCTTGTATTTGCAGCCAATACACTGCTAGCGCGCTCTTTCAGGGTCCATCTGGTACACTCACACCCTACGTTTACTCACGACCCCAATATCGCCAAACAGAAGAGGCATCAGTCACAAAGAAGATAACTGGGCTTAACTCGGTACGTTACTAGTATATCCGTGATATTCATGCAACTAGAGAGGTTGTTGTCACGTTGTTGCTTGGTGCCTGGCGAGCGAGGGTAGTGCAACCACAAGAGCAGGTGGGTCACAACCTTGGAAGTCACGATTCACTGCCGATGCCTTGTGTGCGAACACGGTCGAGCGTTTGCACTTGGACTAAGGGTCGTAAGTTGCCGCAACTACCATACTGAACACTCCTCACTCGCCCGGCAGATACCACCTTCTATTACTTTCACAACACGCGCCTTTCGCTATATCTTCAAGGCAACGATATTTACTCTGTGCACAGACCTAGGCATGACTTCTGCACATCCCGACCGCGCGAGAATTGTAGGAGACGCAAGGGCGCAGGCTGGACATGGGACCTCAGTCAGAGGACGTGCTGGAGACTTGGTATCTGCGCAAGGAAGGAACAGGAAGAGGAAGTGGGAAAACTCTCAAGATGAGCAGCATTCTATGGGAGGAGGCGAGGTTCAGGCACCGGATGGATATGTCAAGACTGCAGGGAATCGGCCGGGCAACAGAAGGCCAGAACATGCACAAGGTCCACGGAAGAAGGCAACATTCGAGCATACCCGCCTGCCGCCTCCGAAGTCCTTCGACGCTGATGGCAGCAAACAACCAGAAGTTGAATCACCACGTCCTCCGAAACGAAACGACCCTCCAAGACCTACCAGAAAAGTGTCAAGGCAGCGTACTCTTGCCGAGCAAAAGCTGGAGAGGGCACGCCAACTCGCCCCCAGATATCCTAATCTTCGAAATGTCGATGCATGGCGGAAACTAGGTCACAGTACTAAGCGGAAATCGGAAACAGAGCATGCTTTCGTCTATCGACATCTGCGTTTGGATCAACAGCCCCAGAGTCTGGCCTTTAAAGAGTGGAAGATGAGAGTGCATCGGGAGATGGAAGGGTTGGGCTTGGAATATGCGTATATAAGGCCGCATGTCAAGCAACCAACTGAGAATGAAGTCAAGGCAGACACTGCATCAGGAGAGTCGGAAATGGCGGTAGTAACAGCGCAGAGAGAAGAAGAAAGCAGAAGGCGCATGGAGGTGGAGAGGATGATTGCGCATGATGGGTTTGATATTGATATCTACGGTGATGAGGAGACCCGGAGGAAGTATGAGCCATGGATCAGGAGCCGTATGGACCGAGCGTAGATGTTTGTTGGAGTTGTTTCGCATACTTGAGCGTTTGTGTTGCGGCGTTGACGTGAGTCTACGTTTCTTTTATGGCTAGCTTGGCTGCGTAAGCGAAGAGTCTTGATAGTGGTAGTACGATACTGGTGATCAGTGGGGCCGTGGACGTACGTCATGCCTGCATCATGGGATTAATTTGGTCGATTTGCTAGTGTTATTAGACTGTTCGTGAGCATTGATGCCACGTCAAAGGAAGCATGTTCGTGAATTTGCGCTTAGCTTTCTCAGCAGTCCGACCCATGCCCAGCCAGCACAAGACGTCAAAGATTAGGAACCGTATCAGTACATGCGATCAGCATATCAGCTATCGAACCCACGGAATTGGCGAGGAACATCTTTTCACATTAGCTCTAAAGCTTCTGGGATTTGCTTGTCCTGTATACGACCCACTGATGCGCGTCGATCAGCGAATCTGGTTCGCAGAGCCGCAATCTTGAAAGCTTACCTACGCTTAGGTCAAATCCAATGTCTTAACACCATACTACTCGATCTGCAATCTGCGATCGATTAACGACCTTCAACTTGTTTCGAGTGCGACGACAATACCTGATTGGCAAAACCTAGCAGTCATGCATACTCGCATCCACAATGCTGATCATCATGCAGATGCCAGTATACAAAGGGTGAGCTCATTGTGATGTTGACGACCAAAAAAGAGGTGTGCGAAAAGATGACTAGTAAGCCTTGCGAAGCGTTCTATTCAAAGGCTGTCCCTTTCGGGCCATCTGGACGATATGCAACCTTGGAATTGTGTGAAACCTACAGCTTTGGCTTTACGACTTCTCATTCACTTACATTATGTTTACCGACAGGTCGAAGCAAGCTTTTGCTGACGAGACGTCTTACGTTATCTCTCTTTCAGGTTATGACACGCAAAGCTTGTGCTCGAACTACACGTTGAGGCGCCACAAATTTGAGGCAGAGGCTAATGCTGGATGTCACGAAGCGAGGCACGACTGGATAAAGTACATTGGGCCGATCGAACAATTTGGGGGATGCAATCCCATCAATGGTAACTTCTCGGCTGTGGTTCTTCCACTTGCTAAGCCGGAGAGGCTGCGGCTGATTGCATATGTGCTTGAGTGTAAGACACCCGCTACCTACCACACTTCTTTCTGCCCTGAAGCCTTTGCTCTTTAAACTGTTGTTTTGCTGACCACATATAGACGCATTTCTTTACGACAACATGATTGAGCTTGAGAAGTCAGATACGGTATGTCAAAGGCCCAGTAGTTCCTTTCAAGTGCAGGTCGCTGACGTGTGTAGTCGAGGTCCAACGACCACAATAAACACGAGTGGAAGAACACGAATCCAGCACTAGGCAAAACGCAGATTCAAGCAAAGATCATGACACAACTCGCATCCATCGACAAGGGATGTACTGAGCGCGTCAAACGCGTGTGGAAAGAAATGATTGCCACGACCTTACGAGATAAAGACAAGTGTTTCGCCAACTTAGAAGAATATGTCGACTTCCGCATGGTCGACACCGGAGCGCCGTAAGCTTTTCCTTTATTGCCAACCGAGCGATTGATGAGCTAAAATCAGCTTGAATAGGTTCGTGGAAGCTATGCTACTCTTCGGCATGGGCATGACGCTCACTGAAGATGACGACCATCAACTAGAACCCGTCCGCGAGCCATGTTACGCAGCTCTCGGTCTAGCCAACGACCTCTTCTCATTCGATCGCGAATATGCCGAGTTCAAGGATGCAGGAATGTCGCAGACGCTGACAAATGCTGTCTGGCTTCACATGCAATGGTACAATACGGATGTGCATGAAGCAAAAAGAATGACTTTGGAAGCGACGAGAAGATATGAAGAGCAATTCCTGAAGAGCTGCGCGGAGTTTCGGCAGCACAACACACGCATGTCTGAGAAGCTAGACATCTATCTGGATGCGCTGGCTTATCAGGTCAGTGGCAATGTCGTTTGGAGCTTGAACTGTCCAAGGTATCATCCTGAGTACCGATATGACCCAAACAAGGGTATCGAGGATGAGATGACAGCTGAGTCACTTTCAGAGATCCTCGGTATCAAGTACGATGCTATCACAATACTCTCAGAGGAGGATAAGCAGGATGAAGGGTCCAGACGTTCATCTACCGACACGTCCCTTCATACCTTTGAAGACGATGGCTCAACAAGGGATGATGTCTCAATATCTTCTTGTACATCTGCCTCCTCTTCGAGCTCGGAGACTAAGCACATGGACGAGAACTGTTTGCTAGGTCCAGAACATGTCGATGCGCCCTTCGAATACATCACTTCGCTTCCTTCCAAAGGTGTGCGAGACACCTTCATCGACGCACTCAACATTTGGCTCGACGTGCCCGAGCCCACTGTGTCCCGCATCAAATCGCTAGGTAATCGTCTACACGCCGCATCCCTCATGCTCGATGATATCGAAGATGGGTCTAATCTCCAACGAGGCCAGCCAGCAACACATACCGTCTTCGGCACTGCACAGACTATCAACTCCGGATGTTATGAGATCCTTCAAGCTGTGCATGAGGCCCAGCAATTGGGCGCAGCGGAGGCGAAGATCGTCCTTGAAGAGCTCGCCGAATTGCACATCGGCCAATCTTACGACCTCTTTTGGACGCATCACAGCCGTTGCCCGTCCGAAGACCAGTATCTGCAGATGGTGAAGAAGAAGACGGGAGGTCTGTTCCGATTGTTAGCTCGCCTTCTACTCGTATCTGCAGAGAGTAACGCATCGAAAATCGCCCCAGGTATTGATATCGAGATCCTAGTCAGTCTCATCGGGATGCAATATCAGATCCGGGATGACTACCAGAACCTCCGGTCGCCGGAGTACAGCGCTCAAAAGGGCTTTTGTGAGGATTTGGACGAGGGGAAAATGTCGTTCCCGCTCGTTCATGCTTTGAATAGCTGTGAAGATGATGCGTCGTTGCGCGAGCTGCTTCAACAGGGTCGGGACGTTGGATGTCTATCGGATGAGCAGAAACGGCTTGTGCTAGAACAGCTCGACCGTTTGGGGAGTATGATGCACACGCGAAAGACGTTGACGCGGCTACAGAGCCAGATTTATGATGATCTGAAGGGAATTGAAGATGCTATGGGGAGGGAGAATTGGATCTTGAGGGCCTTGTTGCAGAGACTGGAAGTGTGCGACGAGACATGATTGTTGGCAGACCTGTTTGACCTAGTCATCCCACACCTTACGAACGTATATTAACATTACAATACGAACTTGTACGTGAATTCGTTCTTGACTAGGTTTGGTGGTTTTTTGCCCTGTATATATTGCTGCAAGCGCGCACGTGTGCGTTACGTCGCGACCTTGGAAACGCCAAGACTAGGCAGTGCTTGAACAGAACTTTGGAGACTCACATTCACTTGTACTACTACGATCGCCTTGCGCAGAAATCTTGACACTTTAGATGTCTAAATCGATCACACAAATTCGCCCACTGCCTCTTGACCGAGCTCACAGCTACAACAACTCACACCTCTTGTTTCGTGCTGCCAGTTCACACAACGATATCGCTTACAAACATGGTCATGACCCCAGACCCCGAAAAGGCGGAGCAAGAAGCTGGAGGCCCGGTTCAATCGCGTCGCGAGAGCGCGGAAGAGTACAAGCCGCCTGCTCTCCCTCTCCAACAAGCACTTTCCATGACCAGTGACAATGCAAGCGAACCAAAGCCAGCTGATGGAGCATCCAGCCTCATATCCCACGAGTCAGAAATCGTTTACAACTCTAAACAATTCATCACTCGGAACGACAGGCGCCAGGAGCTTGGACTTGCACAGGTGGACATCAAGGCCAGGCTCGATGAAGTGAGCAGCGGTCTGCGCGAGCTCAAAGCGAAGCTCAAAGCAAAGGAAGACCTTATCAGAGCGCGCCGAAAGCTTTCACAGTGCGCCGCCGCTGCAGAGAAAGAGTTAAATGTCAAGATCCAGAAAGCAAAAGAGATGTTGAGCGCCAGGGAGGAGCAAGCCGCGTTGCGCCATGTCAAAAAGAACGACATGCGCGAGAAAGGGGCCCAGAAGCAGAGGACGGACTTCGAGCAGCGAGAAGGGGAACGTAGGGAGCGAACAGGGCAAGAAGCAGAGATAAATAATGGTGAGAAGCCGGCAAGCGCAGGAGCTGTGGTGGAGTCTATCGACTGGGACAACTTCGACATCGACATCTATGATGATTAGGGCGTGGGCGAATAGCATGGCCTGGTTATATCCGTCTTGGTCACTGTGTCAGGATGGGACTGTTGGCAAGGCTTTGGAACTGCTGCACACGTTGTATTTTCTAGCGGGCTGATGATGTGCTTTTCTGGATGCGCTACTTGCGACACATAGCTCGGGTGCTACTCATGTCAAGTCAGGATATCATATGATCTTTTGCAATTTATGAGGAAAAGACATAGACGTTGCACTCCCCCAACATGTCTACAGTTGTGAAGAGAGAATGCCCTTGGTGGAGCCAGCCGTGGAGCTGGGTGAAAACCGCGCTAGTACATGGGCGCTAACTGGGATCATACTAGCCGATCTACGGGCATGTATGTCATCATCGATCGCGTCCCGACCACTTTTCGCATAGCTCGTGAAGTACCACTAGAGTATCACGACCATGGAATCTCTTACTGTTCCTTATTCATACCTGTCGCGATGCCACCTTGGTCATTGATCTCACCTGCCTCGCGAGGCATAGGCTTCGCGCTCGCAAGACGGGTGTTGCAAACCACAAACGCGCCCGTTGTCGCAACGGCGCGGAAGGACCTTGACAAGACTAAGGAGGAGTTACTCGATGGCTTGGATGTCGACGAGTCACGATTGTCGGTGATGAAGTTGGATGTTTTGGGTATGTAACTAGTATTTATGATGTTGTGTGTACATCGATGTTCAAGCGTTGACCACGTTCTAGACGAGACGACTATCGCAGATGCCGCAGCGACCTGCAAGAAGCAGTTCAGTGGTAGTCCCAGTCAGCTTCAGCTCGCGCTGATGGTGCCTGGGATTCTTTTTCCGGAAAAGTCACCGGCCCAGATCAACGCCGACGATGCCCTCTTAACTTTGTGAGCAACGCTACTGTGCCAGCTACGCGTGATACATATGCTGATCCGATTAATCAATACCCAGCCGTACCAACACATTAGGCCCAATGCTGATGCTCAAGCACTTTGCTCCATTCCTCCCAAGGAAAAGTGCAGTCGTCGATAAGGACCAAGAAGACATGGCAGGCTTACCAGATGTAGCTACAATAGCCATTATGTCAGCTCGAGTTGGCAGCATCAGCGACAATCGCCTCGGAGGATGGTACAGTTATCGCGCATCGAAAGCCGGTGTCAATCAGGTAGTCAAAACCTTTGACAATCATCTGAGGACTGCTTCTGGCGACAACGCGATGGCGGTTGCCCTGCATCCTGGAACTGTCAAAACGGGGCTTAGCAAGGACTTCTGGAGCAATGTCAAGAAGGATAAGCTATTCGAGCGCGACTGGGTCGCAGAAAGGCTGATTGATGTGATTAGGGAAGTGGCGCCTGAAGGGCGAGGGAAGTGTTGGGACTGGGATGGGAAAGAAGTTCCGCCTTGAGACACATACAAAACGCAGGTGCAATTGAAGCTTGCCTACCATTGTCATCAACAAAGCCATCATCTCTTCTCTCTCGCGACAATATCATATCCGCCCCAACCACCGCTTAGTTCACCAGTAGCACCTCTTCTGGCCTTCGTTACCCGACCAGCATACCTTAGACCCATCGCTACCATGGCAGCTCTTACCCACTCGCAAGACGTGTTCTACAACTTGGACGACATGTCTGTAATTCTACACATACACACATACGATGAAACGCTACTTCAATTACTCGCTATCGGGCCCACAGACTCGCAGCAGATTTCGAAACCGATCGACTCGACGTATACAGGTCAGCAGCTGAGTCCGGAACAGTGTGTATACCATACTTCTGGCTCAGACAAGACCAGCCTGGAGGAAGCTCATGCATGCACTATTCCGAGCCCCGCACAGCATATAGCCCAGCCACCAACATTCTTCCTCGAGACGTTCCTGAACCGATACGGGAAGACACAGATGCCAACCTATCCAAACACGGCCCACCCTCCTCTACCGTCACAGATCCCAAACTGCAAGTCCGCCGCCAATACACAAAGAGAATCTGTGACGACGAGTGCAGCGCGGTCTGTACGACAGCCTACAACACATGGCAATGAATCTGCCAATACTCTCTTAGGCAGTTCTCGATCTGAAAATCCTGGCGACTCTATCCAAAGTGCAGCATGCGTGTCAGCAATTGCCGGTTCCTCGTCACCAGAGGGCGCTACAAATCACCCGGGACAGGATCAAGATGATCAGCAGTCAAGCCCTCGCTCAGGCATCGTCCACGTTACCGCCAAGACATGTAAGTTAACTGTCTTTTCTACTCGCGACAGTCCATGCGCTAATTGATCCCAGTCGAGCGTTTTCCATTGTCAGCGTACCTACGTCCATATCGTCGTCCAATCCCCGTCGAAAAGACCCCGGATGATGGAATTCCTTTGACCATATTGGATGAACCAGAGCAGATATTTCCTATCCGCGACGAACACTGGCATTCCACTGCCGTCATCAAGAGATCGTTCGCGTCTTATTGGGCCGACATGAAGGAATCGAAAACTGAGAAGCCGGACGGCCTAAAGGATCCTGCCTCGAATGACGCATCACTTCGAAAGCCTGAGCTTCGAAGATGGTGGACACCGGAAAAGTCACTTGCGGAAAGTTTGAAAGAAGAATTTGCAAAGTATCGAATCCGAAATTACCATGTCGCGCCTTTGCCAAGTCAGAAATACACAAGGTCCAAACAGAACTTTTTAATCTGGGCAGCTCGGCCTGAGCAAGACAAGAAATTGGTGGAGGAATATCGTGCTTTTTTGGCTTTATTGAACGACGATATACAACCAACCACGACTGGTACTCTTCGAGGAGGCGCTGGGACACCTGAGCCTTCGAGCGGTGGACCGCTCGGAGAAGACGACGAGTTCGAACACGACATGCCAGCAGGTGATGACTTCTACGACTCCACTGAGGTCTCTGCCGAAGACCAACCTTTACCTGGATCCCCAGGTTCTGTATCGTCTGGGTATTCTTCTTCTTCCGACATATCGGCCGCTGCATCTGAGCACTTCCACGAACAGAACAATCTACAACAAACTTGGGAGGATGCAGCCGCGGCGGCTGGACCAGCAGAGCACCCATCCAGCGCGGGCTCCTTAGAGAGTCCTTGGCATGATAGTGACTATTTTTCCCATAGTCCATTTCAATTCGAAACCACGCCGCTCACCGGGTCCCGCGATCCCTCCAGATCACACAGTATGGACATCGAGCCCTACACAGGACCACCCAACGACAGCACAAGCTCAGTCCAGTATACTCCGTATGAAGGCCCAAGCGAACGTCAGCCTCTAATCCAACGCCATGTTCCAGGCGGGGTTCCGCCTGCTGGATACACGTACGATAGCACGGAAGAGGATCCACTCGTGGCACCTCAACCCCCCGTGGCATCTCAGTCCCCGGTGGAACCTCAACAACCCGCATGGCGACATCGACGGAACAGAGTGGCTCAGGTCATCAGACAGTATCGCCTTCGTGCAGGCTTCCGTGCACGGTTCACGCGGTTTGGCAGGAGCCTGCTCGTTATGGGTTCAAAAGAGGGGAAGGAACTACGCAAGAAAGATAAATGATGGGCCGGGGTTATAGGCATTTGTATCGGCAGGTTATTCTTTAGTGCTATTGGGTATGCATGCAGATAGCTGGTCACATTGACCAATCAATACACTTCATCGTGTATAGCTACTTTCGTGCGAGTGTTAGATGCGCATATATTTACCAGGAAGCTCATCGTCTCTGCAGTTTTGCCCTGGATGTGAATCACCTTGAATCGACCATACTTCTGTCAATTTACGATTTGGCGAGTACTTGTTTATCGTGCGTTTTAGGTACATAGAGACGTCATTTCCTAGGGAAAGAACCACCTCATACAAGGGGAAAACTAAACAGGCCTGCAGCCTGCATTAAAATAAAAACATGCAAAACAGGCGAGCTAAATTTAACGTAGGCTCTAGGGTGTTTAGCTTTTTCCTTCAATAATGTGGAACGCAGGGCCAGTCTTACCAGTGGCGCGATCTCGGAGTTGAGCTTCCCCAGAGCGGGGCACCCCGCTCCTGCCTGAACAGAACGTACAGCATGCACCGTTTAACGGCCCCGTGTATTTGGAACTCAATGTCCCGAACAGCGAGCCCGATCTTGCCCACTTCCTTCTAGATACTCGATCTCATTCGCATTGTTAAGTGCAATGATGGTGTGTAGCTTGAAGCATGTGCCATCTGACGACAGGCAGCTTGCATCCAGCCACATACCTGCGTTCCACTGAACGCGACACTGGATTTCTGGAAAGCTTCACAGCATCCGATCACCAGGCACGGAAAAACTTTACGTCAGCGGGCGCATTCGCGAGGATCGACACACATTTCTCCGCAATCTCTATGAAGCCTCGGATCTGGGAAGCTCATTAAGCCCGGTGGCTCTGCAGCTCATCGTATATTCGCGTCACCTTGCATAACGGTTAAAATACGTTGTATGTTCCATGACAACAGCAATAGCACTGCGGAAGCAGTCTGGCTAAATGGGTACAATTTGGTACGCGAGACGGCCGTCGATCGCGCTTCTCCACAGCAGGCGAGTAGCAGCCTCTTGGTCGTAAGGTTGACGGTACGCATAAAGCATCCCACATCGCCGCGTACAGGGTGGACTCTGTCGAGACCCTCTGGAATTCTTCAAGATGCGGTTTCTACGAAGCATCGTGGCAGCTGTCCTCGCATGCGCAGCTCCAACGCTCGCGCAGAACTCAACGTTCCTCAACCCAGTACTTCCAGGTTGGCACAGCGATCCATCATGCGTCAATGTGAATGGAACGTTCTTCTGCGTAACCTCCACCTTCATCTCATTTCCTGGGCTACCCATCTACGCATCGAAAGACCTAGTCGACTGGAAACACATCAGCCACGTATGGAACCGTGAATCCCAGCTCCCAGGCTACAGCTATTCCAGCGATGGTCAACAAAGAGGCATGTACGCAGCGACTCTACGATACCACAAGGGTGTTTTCTACGTCATCTGCGAATACCTCGGATCGGATATGGAGGCAGGTGTCCTGTTCAGGACTACAGATCCTTTCGACGACGCGTCATGGAGCGATCCAGTGACATTTGAAGCTCCCAAGATTGATCCCGATATTTTCTGGGATGATGACGGCAAGGTGTATGTCGCAACTCAGGGAATCATTGTGCAGGAGATGGACATCGACACTGGCGAAATGGGACCTGTCATTTCGCTCTGGAATGGCACTGGCGGCGTTTGGCCCGAAGGCCCACACTTCTACAAAAAAGACGGATGGTATTATCTGCTGATTGCTGAGGGCGGAACAGCCGAAGACCACTCAGTCACCATGGCTCGCGCCAGAAACATCACCGGCCCTTACTCTCCTAGCCCATACAATCCACATCTGACAAACCGCGGCACTTCAGAGTACTTCCAGACAGTCGGCCACGCAGACCTCTTCCAAGACAACAACGGCGAATGGTGGTCTTGCGCGCTCGCGACTCGCGTGGGTCCCAATGGCACTTCGTTCCCCATGGGCCGCGAAATGGTACTCACGCCAGTTACGTGGGAAGAAGGCGAGTGGCCCGTGTTCCAACCCGTAAGAGGCAAGATGACTGGCTGGCAACTACCTGCGCGCTCAAGAGATGTCCCGGGTGATGGACCTTTCAACTCGGACCCAGATGTTTATGACTTCCCCTCGAACTCGACAATCCCACGCAACCTCGTGTACTGGCGTGTTCCTCGCGAAGGCGCATTCAAAACCACGCAGAAAGGACTGGAAGTCGCCCTTGGTCGCAACAATCTCGCTGGCTCACCAGGCGGGTCTGACCCAGCTTCGAGGGCTGTGAACTTCATCGGGCGCCGCCAGACGGACAGCACATTCAAGTTCAGTGTGGATCTATCGTTCGATCCAAAAGCTGATGGGGAAGAGGCTGGTGTGACTGCTTTCCTCTGGCAAACAGCGAACATCCAGCTCGGACTTATGCGCAGTAACGGAACGACATATTTGCGTTACAACTCTACAGAACAGCAAGAGAAGAAGACGCCTGTACCCTCATCTTGGTCTGGAAAGCCCATGCGCTTCGAGATCACGATGCCGGATCCAAGGACATACGTCTTCTCGGCTACGCTAGCCCACGGCAAGTCAAGACCGATCTCGTTTGGCAGAGCTTCAACAGAGCAACTGAGTCCATCGGGTTCGTTCGTAGGAACACTCATCGGTGTGTATGCTACTTGCAATGGAGCTGGTTCGGGGCTAGATTGCCCAGCTACCACACCAAACGCGTACTTCCGACGTTGGAGGTACAAGGGGGTTAGGCAATACATCTCCGAGACCGAGAGTGTACCAAGCGAAGCCTTCAATCGCGGTAGATAAGACCTAAACTGGAGTATGAAAATGAGAGTGGGAGAGTTTGTACAAGTTTAGTTTGAGAGGGTGCCATCGTGAGCCTTATCACACTGTAGACTTATGTATCACTCTCAAGGAAATTAAGAGAAGATCTGAGTTCATCACAAACTATGTGCGATAAGTGTACCTTGCGGACTTCGGCACTGAAGAAGGCAAAAGAGGAAGCGGTGATGTTTGAATCCTCTGATCCCACCATTACCCGAACCGACAACAAGGCTGAGGCCGTCTTAATGGCCACATATTCATCGTTCTGCCTGTCGCATTCGTACAGCGACACTTCTCCTACTGCTTACACGTCTTGGGCGAGTGAAACAACGAAGTATGGATCCATATGGCGATTACCTGCAGGATAGAGAGGATGATATGTTATAGAATTGATGCATCTAGTGCAATTAGCAGTGCTCCAAACGCGTTGACCAATCTCAGATCGACATAATTGTCTACCCATGTCGACACTGTTACGTGTACCTCACTTGTGCATAGTCAGCTTCATCATCCTGCGAACAGTTGCAGCATGTCAAGATCAATGTAGTTCGCCAACCGAATTTGAGACGAACTGTTACTTCGTCAACAGCAGAGGGGGCCGAGTAGAAGGGTAGGGATGGCTTTGGGCACAAACAAAGAGGCCCCAGTATTAAGTAGCAGCAACAGAACCAACACTTCAAGACATTACAATTGTCGAGATTACGGAAGAGCGCAAGTCTGTCAGCTAACGATCGAAATCAGGGCGAGAACGCGACTGGAGCATATGCGCTGCTGTGCTGGGATTCAGCGGGGCCATTTCGCATTGAGCGAAGTTAAGGAGAAAGATGGCGCATGAAGATGCAATAACCTCAAAGATGGCGAAGGATCGCCGTGATGGCAGGTATGAAGATGTGTACCCTGAGCAATCCTTCCGAGCTCAGAGTCTCGAAAACACGCCAAGATAACGTCGGAAGCTCGTTGAGCTACATACGCTTCCGGAGGCTTGAAAATGCTATTCAAGGTAGCATCCAAGTGAAGGCCTCTATGGTTCATAGCTACAAAATGAGAAGAGATGACACCAACTGATACACATACGCGGATACGTTCGTGTCTCTAGAATACGTGTGACCTAGCAATGATCCGTACATAGCATAGCGCCTGTTTATCTCGATGCGACTTGAAGATGAGCAATTAGCAGCTTCAATCTATGATGCCTGCAAGTGGCACAGTCTCATTAGACGCGAAGAGACCGCTGTGCCGCTTCCATTGAGTCATAAACGGCCTGCGCATGTCAAGCAGTGACACAGTGAAGAAACCACGACAGCCCACCCAACATAGCACAAAACATGTCTCGTCCCACCTCCCACCAACAAACTTCGCACAGCCCCCCTCCAACCTCGCTCATCCCCTCGCACCCCGCGTCACCAGAAAGGAATATCGGCCAAATCGCCCGCCTGTCCTCGTCCGAATCTCCACTTTAACCTGACATGTTGCGGTCCGCCGCATGAACCCAGATCCCTACCGCACGCACATGGCTCCCCAGCGAGGCCGCCAGCCAACCTAACCCCTTTTCCGCTGCAAGAAACACGGTACGCTAGATCCTTGGGGCCGATGCTACAGGGCGCTAAGAGAAGAGCAATGGTGTGGGCAGTGGGCACGGAGAGGGTCAAGCACAGGGTAGGTCAGGGCTCCTTCCCGCTGCTCACCGCTGGTTTGTTGGTGGAGGGAGGGAGAGGATGGTGCATGCAGTGAGTTTTTCTCTAAGCGCTGAGAGCTTGTGGGATGTAGCATGTGGAATTGGAATAGTGTAGTTACATGGAGGAGGGAATGGCGTGGTGTGGTAAGCATGCTGATAGCTTAGGAAAGCACGCGAACAGGGGTAACAACACGATCGGCCCATGTGGTGTAGTTCGTTGGCACTGGTAAAAGCTCAAAGTCAAGGCAAGGCAAGGCTGCTTGCTTCCCCTCGGACGATGATGTGTGATAAATGTGTGAGGGGAACGCAGATTTCGACACGCGAGCACACACACACACGGCTCGGGCGGCGGAACTGATGGGGTCGCAGGCGTACGTGGCACATTTGACATGTCGGTTACAGCATGCCATGCGTGGTTGCAAGGGATGGCACGGAGGAAATGGGTCCAGGGTGGGAATCCTTTCTCCGTGCGGACAGCGGCAAGCAACAGCACAGCACCTGGCTAAGCCAGCCAGAGGGAAAAAATGATTTGTGGAGGGGCGTCGTATGCTTGCTCCCGAATGCAAAGCACGCGCAAAAAATTGCGACCGTGTGTTGGTTGCCAAGTGAAGCGCGACGGGTTGTGCGATGCAGGCAGGATCAAGATCAAAACTGCCTTGAACGCGCTTGAGAGTTTGACTTTCGCTTTCGTACCCCAGCAGAACCTTTTTTTTCATTGGTCAGCACCACGTTTTCTCACTACAGCTCACATCAAGGGCTTCGGACTTGCTCCGTCCGAGAAGCGATAGCGAAGCCCAAAAGAAAGAAGACAAAGAGCGGTACACTAACATGACTTGTACAGGGAAGGGAAAAGGTCAGGGCTCGCCCGTTGCTCGACTCAGTCTAGTCGGTTATTTCCGACATCGAACATCCCGGCTCGAAACTTCTGCTCGCACCGTCCCGTGACGGGCAACGACTATTTAGCTTGACCAAGTCCGAATTCGGAGTTAGAGGGGGTTACCAGGCACGTTCGTTTAGTACAACAGCGATTGACCCTATAGAGGTGTGAGGGATTGCTATATTACGATCGGCTGAAAGCGAGTCGCATACTAGAAACCACCCCTGGTCCTGGCTGGCTTGTGAGAGCAAGATAATTCTTGCTCGACTGAAACGCTGACAGGCTAATGTTGATTCGTGACATGCTGTTGCCCACGATATACTTTTCCGTATTCGATAACATCGCCGCAACCCTGAACCATGGAAAAACGACCTGTTTGTCTGCCTGAAAGGAAAAATCGAGCGGTGCGATATATGTCAGCTGAATAGTGTCCGTGTTGGCGGCCCAGGCAAAGAAAGTATGCGCGTCGAGGCAGGCAGACGGCGGTACGCTAAATCACTTTAGAACCAAACTTGACATCTTTTTTTTTTTGCCCTGCATGCTCTGGCAGTTCTCATGACGGAGTTGTCTCCCATTGTGGCAGCGAATCAAACAGGTTCTGCCTCCTCGCACCGTTCCGTTAGTCAAGGTCGAGTTTGAACGGTATGCTATAGCGGCCAAACCATGCAACGGCCAGCGTGTCAATAACCAGTAGATCTGAGACATGCGTATGGCCAAGCCCTTCGTTCGTTAGGTCAACATCGGCGGAGTGCGATCCAGAACCTGGCCTCTGGTACGATGCTGCACCGCGCGACATCTTGGGGAGACAGAAGGAGTAATAGAGCCTCTGGGCTCATCAGCTGGTCAAGTGGTATCGTGGTACGCTAGAAATCTAGAGCCTCAACTGATGTCTGGTAGCATCTTGGTGCAAGTCCATAGTAACATCGAGCCATCATTGGACGATGGTAGTCCACCCTGCGTCTGAGCCGCGAGACGGAATCGTGATAGTGGTACTGGTGAAATCATGTTGATTACATCGTGCATGGCAGGACGTGCCGTACCGGGACATGACAGACGGCGACGTTCTAGTCGACGGGCTGAGATGTTTTCATTTGGATTTCTACCAAGGAACCCATCACGTCCCGTGCCGATGTAGTTCGAGACTGACAGATCGAGACTTGCGTGGTAGCAGCGCTCCGGCTCGCCGAGAGCCCGAGTCCGTACCGTGGTAGAAGCGCTGTATGATGCCTCTCAGTGTGTCGTGATTGAGTCATGCACGTACACCTGTGAGGCAAGTGTCAGTGAAGACTTGGTGTGGTAACGGTACAATCGGTACCAAAACAAAGTCCGCCCCATGGGAATGAGATCGAGAAGTGAAGGTGGCTGAATCTGGTTGGCCTTTGTTTTTCCAATGGGACGCGTTGCCCTGGAAAGGAAGGTACAACACGTGCGTACCCGCTCTCGTGTATCTGCCATCGGTTGCCCTGCGTGGCTTGTCATGTGTAACGTGCCATGTGATTTGCATGTCAAAACTCATCACTGACACATGTCTTGGCAATACCGTCGTACAAGGGCCAGGCTGGTTGGCATGGTAGGCACGAGCGATGGGTGAGCATGACAGATCGACCTGAGCACCAGAAGTGGTTCGACGGGCAGGATCAGCTCGGAAATCCCGCATTGGACATCAGCCCATCAACACTGACGTACTCCAAATGCAGTGCGTCGTTCATCAAGGTATGCAGAGGGACAAGGCATTGCACCAGCGAACGTCTCCAATTTAGGTAGCTAGTAAAGGAAAAAAGGAGACTACATACAAGACGATGCGCGAAACGTTCGCTTTCCCAAAGTGCTTTGCGATTTAATCAGATTGCCACCCACCAGTAATAGTTCCCATGTAGACTTTCAGATGCGGTAGAGACAGGCCGAGAATGGGAATACCGCGAAAACCAGCGTAAAACGTACGATAGGAAAAAGATACCAAAAAGCACAAGCGACCACTACCCCAGCCAATATGCAGCGAAGCACATGAATGCCGGACCCAACCCACGCTACGATGATGCAAATATCAACGAAGCCTCCATGTGATGATGATGCAACCCCAGTTCTAATGTTTGCGGGAAAAGACAGAATAACCACCCAGTGTAGTAGTTTAGGTCACTCGAGATGGAAGACCGGGAGGGACAGTAGGATGATCCGTGAGTATTAAAGTAGAAAACGTTGAAAGATCTTTGTCGCTCTTGAAGATTCAGATATCCGCCCAGAAATCACGCTGTTGCCAGCCAGAACTCCTTGCGATAGCAAACGTCGATTGGACGCGAAGATAGATTGTACATTGGAAAGCAGTAAACGACGGCTGACAGATTCGATGGGAAATTTTGCTCTTTGCTCTTCGCTTAATCCGAAATGTGTAGCGCTCTCGAAAGACCAGCTCCAGAGCGTCTCCACTTGCGCGAGGCAGATTTTTACATGGGGCGGCGGTTGAGCATGTTGAGCATGGACGAATCGGTCGAGCTGCGTGCGGGGCCATTATCGCTTACGAGATCATTGATGCGCATGCTGGGCCTAGCCGAGGCTTGCGATGTAGGCGGCGGTGGGGTTCTGCCATCGGTGCGTGCGGGTGGTGGCTGCAAGACGCCGTTGGCCTGCGGTGGAGCTGCGTAATAGGGTGTGGGCGGGGCACCGGGGGTCGTTGGTGCTTGGGAGTGTGGCGAGGACGAGGTGCGACTCGGCTCGTAGCGATAAGCGCTCTGTGGGGAGCCTTGACGCGGAGGCTGAGCAGCGTAGTATGGTTGGGCGGGGGGAGGCGCAGAGGAGTAGGGAGCGGGGGTTGATGCTGTTGAAGCGCCCGATGTTAGAGACGGTGGCTCTGGATAGGCATAGTCTTGTCCAGTGCCTCGATGAGGGGCCTGTGACGCCGAGCCAGGATGCGGCGGGGGCAGGGTAGGAGTGTGAGGCTCTGGGTGGAGTCTCTTCCTGCCTGCCAGCGCGTCACGGCTCGCCTCATCTGGAGAAGCACTAGGCGGACCATAGTCAGAATGAGCTGGGTACGGACCTGCAGTGGGGCTGGGCAGATAATGCGGCTGGCGCGACGGCTGGCCATATGGCTCGGCGTGGCTGGCAGGAGGGAGAGGCTGCCCGTAGGCGCCGTACATGGGCGGTGGCTGTCCGACACCGCGCCAGACTGTGTGAGCAGGAACAAAAGCCTGCGTCTGGGCAGACACGGGGGTGAAGATGCAGTCTTGGTTGAACCTCATGCAGTTGGAGCAGCGGCCGTCCTCAGTCGCCTCGAAGCCGGAGCAGCGGATCTAGGTAGAGTAAGCAGGCAGTCTCGAGTCAATGGCGTGGGCCGTGGTGTACCTTGCGGCGTCTGCAGTAGCGACAGGCAATTGCAGTGCGCTGGCGGGGGGCTGGCGGCTGGTGGTGCTGCTGGACGTACTGCGGCGGTGGAGGAGGCTGCTGGCGGTATGGGTCTGGGGGAGGAGGAGCGCGCGTCCACTCATTGGGGCCTGGCAGGCGGTAGGGCTGCTGGTGCTGGTACTGAGGATGTTGAGCCATGTCGGGACGGGGCTCTTGGGGCGGCGGAGGAGGGAGCGTGGTGCTCATCTAATTGACGTCGAGTGTCAGCGCGCTGTCACCCAGCTTACGAGAAGGGCAGACAGATGAGGGCAGAGATGTGACGTGCAGGCACGCGAGACTGCAATTCAGCGACAGTGGCCACTTACATGCGGAGGTTGCGCATAGGCGCCATTGGGAGGCTGCTGGGCCGTGGGCGGTTGCCAGTGGGCGGGAAGCTGGCCTTGGCCACCCTGGTGAGGGAACATGGTGTCGCGCGGCGGTGGTCGTGTGTGGTGCTGTCACGGCGGGGGCTCTCCCAGTGCGACGCAGCGGTTGGGGGGTTGGCAGCAGCGCAGCTACAAAAGAGACGTCGGTGGTGGTGCGGGAGATCCTCTGGGGCGGGTGAGGTGTCACAAAATACTGGCAGGCGGGCCGCAACGTCGGCTGCAGGTGAGAGAGACGGGCAGCGCTGCGTGGGCGATGGGTGGCAGCCAAGCCAGGAGTGGGCGGAGCGGACGAGGGGAGGGGAGGGTGTAGGGCGGCGCGTGTAGGCGGGTGTTGTCTGCACGAGGAGCGTTGGTGAGAGAGAGGGCAGAGTTGGGCGAGGGAGGCTGTGGAGTGAAAGGCTTCTCGAAGCGCGTGGAGGAGACGACGGGACCCAAGAGCGTGGAAGCGAAAAAGGAGATTCAGGTTGGAGCGGCCGCTATTACTACCCACCGCGTGCCCGAACTCAACCTTCTCGCCGCTTCTACTGGCATGGCGTTTTTATCCCTGCCCGCCCCATGCAGCGACGACGGCGACGGTCCGCCAAACGCGCTAAATGCCATGCGGCATCCTCACTTGCAGCGCGACGTGCAGCTGTGCAGCCCACCCATCCGCGCAGACGAGCTACCGGCGAGCAGCGACGCTGCGCTGCGAGCCGCCCCTACCACGTCGCCCAAGCCAACTGTCTGGCCTGTGTATTATCACCGCGCCCATGACACGCCCGTGACGCCGCCCACGGCCGTGCCAGCTGCCCCAACCTTGTCGGCCACCCATGTGCATGATGCTGCTGCGGGCCGGCAGCTTGCTTGAGATGTGTGACTCGCCAAGCCCTCGGGGACTCCCGTCGCGCTGTGATCTACGAGCCTTTAATTACATACACACGCCGCCGCAACAGATGCTCTAAAAGGCCACGGCCTGCCAGTCTGCCCTGCCCTGCCCTGCCCTGCACGCCGCGCCCTGCCTGCACCGCGCTTGCTCCAGAGCCTACCCGTCGCAGCTGCACCTCGCATGCGTCTACCGTGGCACAGTCAGTCGCCTCGACTCATGGAACCACCTCGGGCTCTTGAATCGTCTACGGCCCGTCTCTGCGTCCCTCGTGTCGCTTCCTCCGCCAAGCCCATAGCTCGCGCATTCGACAGCTCACGAACCACGGTACGCGCCTGCGTCCGGTCAGCTTTGGTCCTACCCTCCGCTCCTGGCCCCGGCCGCCTGCTGCAATATGCTTTTGTGTACACATGCATCGTGACGCTGCCCCTCGTCCTCCCCAGAACTGCTTCTCCGACGTGTCGACTGCAAGTGGCTGCCTGCACTGTCCTTGCACATGTCCTTGGCCTAACCCAACCTCGAGTTCCGGCACGCACGTCGCCTCTGCCGTCTGCTTCATTTGCTGCAATGTCTGATAGGGCTGATCCATTCGGGGCGTCGGTCATTTTCCTCGACAAGGACGGCAACATCCCTGTCCGACTGTTGGTGTGTAACACTTCGGCAACCACGTCTGCTTGGACAACTGTGACGTGAGTGCCCTCTGTGCGCTAGTCATGGCCCTGCCGGTGCGTCTCGGCGACTTCAGGCACTCCTTCGCGGGGCAGTGTCTACGGGAGAGCCGATGTCTTGCGCCGGGAGAACCGTTCGTTGAGCGCAGCAGCAGCTCGCTTTCGCCTTCGCACGCAACCTGCTTGGTCATAGAGCCGATTCTGGCCACTCGTGCCTGTCAAGAAACCGATCCGACATCGTCTCTCTCAGCTGCCATTGCTTCGTGTAAGACGGGTGGCATGCGACGCAGCCCACTTTCGTCCTCGAATCACGCCTCTCAATCTGACATCCACAATTTGGCAAACCGTTCATCCCTTGCGCCGGCGAAGGCTTGCGAACTGGTGCCCATGGCAAAACACTTCCTCGCGCTGCTGATTCGACGCCTCCACAATAGTCGATACAAACCGATACAAAGAATTCGACGGCACTTGTGCCTATTCTTTGGTAGTGGCGGTGCCGCAAGTCCCGCTGGTGACGAATCTCGGACGTGTGCGGATGTAGGCACAGTGGCATGGAGAATCGCGAAACGCCCAGTGCGCTCTCTGCCTCGGCTTCTCGCCGGCCTATTTTCACCTGACTGCATATACGTGACGACGCCGACACCTTCAACAAAGACTCGTCAGCCGTAGTTCGTCACTGTGCACGCTTGCCCAAACACCTCGTCCTTTGCCTCTGCCCTCGAGATTAGGGCGGACGGCCCGCGCTCTCTCAAGCTTAGTTTTCCACCGTCCAGGTCTCGGTCAAATTTAATCGACCAATCAGCACGTCCCTTGCCTAGTATTCAACTTACTTGGGCAAATCTCAGCATTCCAGCTGGCATGTGCCTTGCAGCTGCTGCTCGACGGGTAAATCCTATCGAGCACGATAAAAAAAAAACCTTGCTGCGGTCACAAGACATGTCTACCGGTCAAAGCCGTCGTCCCGGCCACAGTGCCGTTTTCACTCATTGGCACCGTATTCAGCGGGATGACCGCTTGCAGCCAATCGCTTTCAATAATTGTTGTAATTTGATTGACTGCCACACCGTATTTCGCCCTTTCGAGTCAGTCACGAGCGCGTGATAGATGAGGCCCAATGCAGTCATTTGTCTGCGACTATATCCGTCTGAAACCATCAGTCCAAGGAGCGACATCCTTGACTTGGCCGATAATCAAGGACAGCAGCCTTGTGTTGCACATTGCAAAAGTGCCGTTGAATGCCGCTGATGACGGTTACACCAAGTGAGCGGATTGTGGGGTAGATCAACCAGGATCTGCTCTGGACGTGATCTTCAGCCGCCTCGGTCGATTCACCCAAGCAAATAGCCGCGCAACGTCCATCACCACTGCAGTGCAGAGTGTAAGCGATGCTCAGCCATGGTGGTGGCCATGGAGATTGCGAAGCCGCGCGTGGACAGTGGCAGCTCGCTCAATTAGAACCAGGTGTATTCGCGGCTCGGGACGAGATGTGGAATTCCCGCGTGTGTCCCGTTGATAATTAGATTAACGAAGTTTGTGTCACCGAAGCCTTCCCGCAACATGCATAGCATAGCTGGAGATTGCGGAGTCTACCCATCTGTGTCACCGTAAGCAGTGCAAGAGGGCCATGTCGCTTGTGCCGCATTTTGTGTACCACCAATCTGCAGGTAAAACCAGATTCAGATATATCAGGCGGGAAGATATCGTCAAGCCTCCGAGACGATGCCTCGCCCGTGGCACCGTTCTAGTGTCTGACAGGCATAAAGAACGCGGGCAATGCTTCCACAGCGCGTCCGTGGCCAGTGCAAAACAAACAACCTCACCGATCTGTCAAGGTGTGCTGGTGCGATAGAGGCGTAGTCAGTCTGGTGATGGCGTTGCATCGGTGTACACGCATTCCTTTGCATCCTGATAATACTTTTGATGCGCCGCAGTACTGCATGTTGCTGATGCTCCAACAAACGAGTTTCCGTCCTTGCAGTAGTGGTGTGAGGGACGACATCCTCTCGGATAAGCGGTATCCCATCTCCGTTCTCTACCCCAGCGCTCGTCCGCCTCATCTTCGGGCAGACAACGGTGTACGCTCGCCTTACCGAACCCGGCGGAAGGCCGAGAAGGGCAAGGCGACACGTTTTGGCTTTGCGAGATCCAGCTATGTCACAAACGCCGGTAAATATCATCTAGAGACGCGGAAGGGGTGGATAAGCGGACGCAAGCCATTGCGGGTCGATGGATCAGCCCGAAGCGTGCTAATTCGCGGAAGAAAGAAATATCTGCAGCTCATCGGTGTGACGGACGGTGGGATTCAATAGACACAACGAGTTGCCTTATAACCACACCGCCTTTTGTAGGCATTCTGAAGCTCCTCAAGGCCTCGTTGTTCAATTGAAATGCAATGTGCGATGCACAATCGCGCCGTAGAAGGACCACTGTTCGCATTGAATTTCTGGAGGTTTGGCGTTGGAGCTGCTGGCGTCATGCTTACACCACGTCAAGCGCAGCCCAACAGCGTAAGCCGCTCAACTTTCCGCTTCTCATGAGTGCATGACGCTGAGCGGTGCAGCAACTAACCACCAGCTACTCAAGGCGCGGGTAAAGATTCGCTGAAGCCTTCGTCATGAGATGCAGCTGGCCTCGATCAGACGCGTTAGGGCGTAAACCCATGCATCCCAGACGGACAACGAGTGCGCCCCGAGCCGTAGCCGTGTATAGCCTAACGCAACGTGTGCAGCATGTCACTGTGCCAAAATGGAGAGTGGGGAGGCCAGCTGATCGGGGCCTGGCGATTATATGAAGCGATAGCTGCACACCCCATGGCATCTGCCCTGCTGCATTGTCATGGCGGAAATCTGGCATTAATGCGGTCAGCCATCTATACTGCGTCGTGATCGGAAAGAAGGAGGAGTGAGCACTGTGCACTGCCTCCCCTCGCTCGTTTAGCCAGGGAAAGGCCGCTAAGAAAGACGGCAGGCCCGCGTCTGAGCGTAGCTTTAAGAGGGGGCCAGGGTACGAGCAAGCTAGAGCAAAAACGAGCAAGTCTCATCATAAGACCGAGGATACTGCATTTGGCATAAGTGCTCCCGTGACCTACTAGCGCTGCATGTTGATCCCAGTTATCCGCTCGTGCTGGAGCTAATCCTGCACGATGACTTAGTCTGTTACATGGCATCGGTTGTGTCAACCAGTCAGCGCCACCGTGGCAGGGTTAAACCAGCGTCTATTGGCGGTTTTTGCGCTTGCGTGGCCCACTCCTCCACGCTCCCACCAATGCGTGCATCCAAATGACTTCGGCTCGAAGCACCGTGCCTCGAACATGCGTTGTTGAAATTGCTCTCATCAAGCCTCGTCATCCTCTGCGGCGTTGCTGTCATCGTCGGGCTCGGCATCGCTTCCTTCGTCGTCGCTCGAGTCTGACGTGTCGTCGTCGGGCATCGCGACGCTGTTCAGATAGGTGATCTGCCACGGGCGTTAGCGGCCTTGGGTTCAACGCCTCCGGGGAGATTGCTGTGCTCTTCCTTCACACCTGAAGGATTTTACGATGGGCGGGTGACTGCATTGCCAACGCACTACTGGCCGGCACTATGATCACCCCATCGCTTGCAAAGACCAGGCACTTCCTAATAACTTGCCGCCGCTCTTATCTTTTCGTGTCCAATGGGAACGTGATGCCGTTAATGTCAAGAGTATGGAAGGATAGACTTACAAAGGGTACCAAACTGGCTATGAGTTCACCCACTCGCTCCAAGCCCCCAGGACCAACGATTTCATCGTCTGCGAGCTTCCGCCCCATGGTGAAATTGCGGAGCCGCATAAGTTCGATATCTTTGTGATCATGGTCATATCCCTGGAGAGCTGTCAGCAAACTTGAACAGCTGCAGTGAGACTGAAGTTTGTTCATCACAATCCCCGCGACTGAGCTTTGACAAACTGCTGGCAGCAGAGAACCCCGCCTACTCAAAGGGTGCTAGCTATGACAACTCCAACTCAGCTCAACTTGTTGAATGCGGGGCGACTTGAAACTCTATTCTGCCGGACGGCACACAGTTGTAACGCACAACCTTCCAGTACGAGACTGGAGCTTAGTCGCACGTCATTGTGATCGTATACCGTTCGCGAGATGGTGTAGCGGAAGAGTTTCATAGAAATACATCCTTGTAGGCGGGGGAGCTTCCGTGCTAGTTTTGGTGTTGATCCGTGTTAGGCGGCGGACAGTACCCGAGATCGCGGCAAAGCTGTTACCAGACCATGCAAAAATCGATTCTGCTTGTGAAGAAACCTCGTAGTCGAGATGTGTCACAAGCATCTTTCATGCTTAATGACCCAAGAGCCATCGGCCGATGCTCTGTTGTCTTGTTGGATGGATTGAAAGGATGATGCATACCTTGGGATTGCGTTTCAGAGCATTCGACTGATTCATCGACAGACCCGTGAAAGCCCTCACGGCCTTCTTCTTGTCATCTTTAACACCACCCAGAAAAGCCCCTCGAATACCGGAGTCTGTCAATACGGCCTTAATCTTGTGCGGTTTGCGGTCAATGTCGCGTCGCAATTTGGCGAGAGTCGACGCGTCCGGCTGCCAGAAGCCGCCACCTTCCAAAGTCAGCGGGTCCTTGTGTAAGAAAGGATGTCAATGAGTATAAGGTGCAGGAGCCATTATCGCGCCGCTGACTATGTTACCACCTGCACAGGCAGAATGGATATACACTGACGTGCATCAGATGAGTGTACCATCCCAACGACACCTCGCTGCACGTTGCCGAACCCATAAACGATTCGATACGTTACCTCACGGACACCGCGCGGTAAAACCGAGAAGATAAGATGTTACCATACGATGTCCGACGGGGCATAGGCACGTAGGCACATAGGTCCAATGGCGTGGCATGGTGACCATCAATGTTCCCAGCATGGCCATAATGTTCAGCGCTGGCCGAATTTGACAATCTCACCATATGGCGATACATTGTCGTCTCCGGGCCTGTAGTCGTATAATGCGACAAATGGCCAGGAGCGCAAGATCGACCACACGACGAGAGTCGCAGCAGAGCCGAGGCTTGCACCAGACGTCGTGGTGACGAGCATTGGGTACACTTGCATACTCTATGCACATGGAGTCGAAAGGAGCCATGCGGTGGCCACGAGGTCACTTCGCACTGCGCTTGAGTTCCACGACAGCTCGCGGCTCGGGTGTGTTCGCAAAGACGAGGGAAAAGACAATCGAACATACCTACGAAGCTACCACCTTTGGGTTGCACCTGAATGTAGTAGTGTGCGTAAGGTCCCTTGCGTCCCTGCACGTCGTATACAATATCAGTGTGGGCCTCCCATAGGCTTGCACCCATGTGTGACTTACAGTTCGTGACCAGGCCGCAGAAAAGTAAGTCTAGATCAGGTCAGCCTGCTTCACATGTAGCTGTGACAGGGCATCATGCTGAAGCTATGTCCCGGGGCGTAGAGTAGATGCTATAGCACCATGTTGATTTGACAGCATACTGTGTCTCTTGGTCTTGTGACACGGCTTCAAAGGCACGACTCCACCCTAGCGTGGAAGGTCGATGTCTTCACTCACCTTGTACGGAGTTGGGTCTTTCGAGAACCGAATGTCTTTCTACTGTGAGCATAATCCAGGAATGACCATACTTCGCGCTCACCTCTGTAAATCCGGTAGATCTGCGCATTTTAGTAAATCGTACTGTGACAATCCAATCGGAAACACTTACTACATCTTTGACAGGCAGCTCTGGGATAGTCTCATCTGCCTCGATGATCTTCTCGGATACCTTCTCCGCAAAAGTGGTAAAATCTTGGAATGAAACTCTAAAGTCAGGGTCATGGACTACGATACAGACGTCAGCTAGCGGTCCGATCGCACCGTTCCACATGAAACACAGTCAATCACCACTCACGCTTCAGCCATTGGCGGTCGTTGTTAGCCGTCAAGTCCTTAAGGAACAGCATCGTGTTTGGATGGATTGTATGATCCAAGTATGGCGTGTCGCCTGCATCCCGAGCCTTTGGTTTCTTGATGATAAGTTGTGTTCCTGGTGCGAGCTTCGCACCGGGTTTCCATAGCTCCTTCTCGTCAGAGGCTTTCTTGTGTATGGCAAGGCTCTTGGTCACACGCCCTCTAGGAGTTGCTCGCTTGCCCTCAAGGTCGTCCTCACTGGCGGTTTCATCGTGTTCAGATTCTGAAGATGGTTCCTTGTCGCTATGTTCTTCGTAGTCAGAAGCTACAACGTCATCGTCGTCATCGTCGAGCGCTGCAGCTGTCTTGGGTTTATTTCCATCGCTATCCGAGTCGCTTTCAGGCTCGACGTATGACTTCCTTGCGGTAGCCCGTGCTCTTTTAGACTGCCTTGCTGGAACATCCGGTGCAGGACGTTTGGAGGTACTCCTGGAAGCCGAGGCACTCGCGCTTTTGGTAGCTTTACGTGGCATGAGGTCGGTTTATGGGATTTGCGAAAGTGATAGGCGTGATACTCAGTTGTCATTGCGATGCCCTCGTGGCTGCTTGGAAGATGACGCGCGCACAGACCATCGATGACGCACTCGAACGCGAAAATACAGCGCGTTGTCACGTTTCCACCCCAGCGAGAAAGCACGCCCAACTGACATGCCGACACGCTTCGAAGCTCGCAAGCAAAAGATCTTGGAACAACTCGACGCTCCAGATGGCGAGTATCATGATTTGTCGCCCAAGGGGTCCGTTGATGCGCCCATCCGAGATCTAATCGGCGAGATCAACAGTCTCCCAGGACTAGTCACCACTAGCAGCTGTTCGGGGCGCATCAGTGTGTTTTTGGAAGGACGCAAATCAGACAATGAAGTACCAGATGAATTACCTGAAGGCGAGACTGCACGCGCTGGACCAGGAGGGAAAGGTGGCGGGGGTGCATGGTTGTTCATCTCACACACGCCACTTGGGCGAGAAGAAGCAACATGTGACCTCGTGTCAAAGTTTGGCTTGAAGAAGGCTGAAGCAACGGAGGGAACACCTAGCGTGTCCAGCAGGTACATTCATCTTAAATTTGAACCTATGGTATCTTCAATCGTCATAATACTTTTGCATGGTCTGACGTGGCACAGATACTCCACGTCCTGAGTGCATCGATGGATCATGCCCAAGGTGTCCTCACTGCTGCCTTAGCTGCCGGCTTCCGCGAGAGCGGTGCCGTGAGTCTGGGGTCAGCGAAGACAGGAGAGTCGAACCCCATCGTAGCTGTCCGGTCAGCTGGCTATTCATTCGACTCCATCATTGGCCATCAAGGTGGCGATGGCAACAGTGTTGCCTTGGTAGACGAGCGGTATCTACAAACATTAGTCAACATCGCAAATGAGCGATTCAACATCAATATCGATCGCATCAGCCGGTTTCGCAAGGCCCTCTTGGAGACGTACGAACCGAAGCTCTCGACAGCGACAGGTGGATCCAAGCCAGAATGGGAAGATGCAGATGCCAGGAAGCGACGGAAAAGAGAAGAAGGCCTTGCACGGCAACAAGCTCTGCAAAACCATGTCTCTCGAGAAGATACTCATTCATCAAGAGAAGAGGAGATGGACAGTATGAAAGAGATGTTCTCCTAATACGACCCCACACAATACAGAAGCATGCGCGTCGACGAGAATGCCTGTATTCATGACAGCAAGATTTCTACTCTAGCGTAGGTAGATATGACTCATTTTCCGTCTATCATGACGGCGAGTTCTAGTTTACGGTTAGTGGTTGCATCTCTGTACGTTGTGGAGCCAGATGACAATGTCTCCGGCGACTAGTCTCCAAGCCTCCAACGGAGGATGAACGACATTCGGACAATTACACAGCCATATACCTACACGTGACCCTGGAGAGCCATGATCCTCCTCTTCAAGGTCTATCAAATGCAGTAACATGATGCCGGAAAATGTGTGTTTCCCAATCCATTTTGATGATACTCCACCAATAGAGGCTTAGCGTACAAAATGTCTCCGACGCAGATCGGCGACTATGCTTCCATCTTCGCATACATCTTCAACATACAAAAGAGACCACTGATCTTCAAACTATCCAATTCCTGACTCTCACTCCTTCCAAGCGTCTTGTATACCCATCAAAACTGCATCACCACTATCAAAATCCCAAATCTACCCCTCACTCCAACCCACCATCCAATATGAGCTACGCAGAAGCCAACCGCCGGTACTTCGAGTACGCCACATCTCCTCAAACTCACAAACATGGATTCGCACTAAAATACCCTACAGTGCCATATCAGACAGTTACGACAGCAAACCCTGGTTCAAAGTCGTCAACGACCGTGTAGCCACCACCCTGCGCTCCGACCTATCATGGGTCGGCATCCCCTTCACAGACTCCACCACCCAACCAGTCCGTCTCCTAGACTACGCATGCGGCACCGGCCTTATGACACGAGTCTTTGGCCCCTACGTTACCTCCACCCAAGGCATCGACATATCGCCCAACATGGTAACCACATACAACACACGCGCCCGCGACGCCGGACTCTCCGAAGATGTAGTCAGTGCCGTTGTAGGCGACCTTTTCAACAAGTCTGACCCTAACCCTAAAGCGCTGGGTGGAGAAGGGTTTTGGGACTTTGACATCGCGACTGTGGGGTTTGGGTTCCATCATTTTGAGGACGTGGTGTTTGCGGCGAGGCAGTTGAAGGAGAGGTTGAGGCCGGGTGGTGTGTTGGTTATTAATGATTTTTTGGAGGGAGGGGATCTTTTGGCGGGGGAGGATGGGGGCATGATTGAGGGGAGTGAGGGGAATCATGCTGTTCATGGTCATGGACATCATCACCATGGTCGTAACGAGGAGAAGGATTCTGGAGCGTCTGGACATGGACATCATCATGGGCATCATCACCACCATGATGCTGAGAAAAAGCACGATGTTGGCGAAAGCAACCCCGAGTTCCGCCAGAAGATGAATGCTTCGATAGTGGTCCCGCACTTTACCATCGATGGCGTGAAGCAGTTCTTCACGGAAGCTGGGTTCGTAGATGTGGATGTCATCACGATGAAGGAGAAGAATTACATGGAGTTCGGTGGCAAGAAGCTGTGGCGCACGATTCTGTTTGCCAGAGGGCGCAGGCCAATGGAAGGACAAGATGGCTCGGGAAAGAGTGAACTATGAGCTTACCCGAAAAGACGAAGCCCAGTAGCCACTGGCCAGCGATGCAGTGTAGTTGATAGTGTGAGCAAGATCGACAATAGATAGATTGTCTATATATGGGATATCAGCAACCAAGACAAATATAACGCCAACACCAAACTAATTGCCCTTCTATCTAAAAGAAACCACCTCACCACTTCCCCTCCAACGGCAAATCTCGGCTTGAGAAACCCACACCAATACCAAACTCGCCATTAGGCAACACCCAATTCTGCCTCTTGACATCCCAATAACTCAGATCCCTTCTCGTCACATCAAACTGCACCAGCTTGCCTGCGTTCTTCTCAAGGTGAATCTTCTCAAAGCCGCGCAGCACACGAACAGGGAAGTCGACAGGCTCACCCGTCTCGTGGTCCTTGTAGTTTTGCGGGAAAGAAATGTAGAGCTGGACTACTGATGCGCCGTCGACGGGTCCAGCGTTTTCTAGCGACGCAGATACAGTCAAGACCGTGGTGTAGAGATCGGGGTTACCGCCTGGACCACCGCCTGCTTGGCTTAGAGGAGATGGTGGTGCAGAGGTCGTGGGGTCGGATTTCTTGATGCCCTTTACGGAATCTAGCCATGGGTAGATGTATCGCTCGACCTGGTTGAAGCCCTCAGGGAACAGCACTGATTTGGGATCTGGCAGGTCGGTAGAGTAGCTTGGAGGAGTCAGGCCGTCAGGTCGAGGCTTGGGAAGAGGCGTTTTGGCACCCTTTTCTTCGATGAGGAGGGACGACAACTTGAAGTCGCTGTACGAAAGACCGTAGCCAAATTCGAATCGCGGGGCGATGTTCTTCTTGTCGAAGTGACGGTAGTCAATGTAAAGACCTTCGGAGAAATCCTGTTGAGGCGCCAGACCGTCCTTTGGGGTGGGAAGATACTTGATCTTGCTGCCTGGACCGTAGTCGTCTTCCTTCCTGGCGATTGTGTAAGGTAGACGTCCAGATGGGTTGACGTCGCCAAAGAGTACGTCTACGATGGCGTTACCAGATTCGGTACCGGGAAGGTTGGCGATAATGACGGCTCTGACATTCATGATGTCGATGAACTTCTCCAGGATGACAGGTCCAACAGTATGGATGACTACCACGACGTCACCCATGCCTTCTCCGCAGTCTTTAGCAACATCCTGAATCAGCTTATCGCCACCCTTTTGTAGATTAAGATCATTTCTGTCACCACGGATGCTTCCGTAATGCTCGTAGCCCTCCCCGGCGTCGGCGTTGGCGAAGACGATGCAGAGATCCTGATCGACGAGAATCTCCTTCTGGCTAGGCAGTTTGTTCTCTAGCCAATCGGTGACGTAAACAGTTTCGTTGTCGAACGCATCTCGAATAGCAGACATAGGCTCTACCAGATACGAGAAGTTGACTGCGCCAGAACCCCATCCTGAGGCTAGTGTACCTTTGTCGCAACTCTGATCAGCGCAGTGGTTTATCCCCTCATGAGGGAGACGTGCATCTTCACCAAAGACACCAACGCGGAACTTTGTCTTGGCCTTGCCGCCAGTCTTCCAGCCCTTTCGGTCCAGAGGTAGCATTTTACCTTCATTCTTCACCAGGACGGTACCTTCAGCTGCGACGCGACGTACTAGGTGTCCATGTGCTTCTTTTCCTTCTCCTTGTGCGTTGACCCACTGGTTCACGATGCCCGTTTCGTGGTTCGATGGGCTGCCCTCGTGAAGCTTGCCGACCCGGTCGTTGGTCCACGAAGAAAAGTTTGGTCCGTCATTTTCCCACTTGTCCTGGCCGACCTGATACCAAGATGCCACAATGCGAGTAACCATGTCGTCGACACGATCAATGGGCACGCTTCCATTGAGAACCGCACGGGTGAGCTCGGCGCCCCATAAGCTGTTACCCTTGGCCCATCTTAAGCCATCTCCGGGCATGGTCATGTCCAAGCCCGCAAGAGCACTAGCCACGCCCGAACGTTGTGCTAACCAATCACTCTGAATGAAGCCCTGGAAACCGAGCTCGTCCTTCAGGACTCCGTTGAGCAGCTTGGAGTTTTGGCAGGCATAGCTGGAGTTGACCTGGTTGTACGAACACATGACGCTGGTCACTCCAGCTTTGACGGAGTCGGCGAATGGCCATGCGTAGATCTCGTGTAGTGTGCGGTCGTCGATATTGCTCGATATTGCGTTTGGAAGGCCCCACTCCCATGCTTGTCTGAAGTGCTCTTGTTCGTTGCCGACATAGTGCTTCGCGGTAGCCATGACGCCCTCGTCCTGGATCCCCTTGATGGTCTGGGCCGCTGCGATACCCTGTAGAACGGGATCTGAACCGAATCCTTCCCAGTTGCGACCACCAGCTGGCATTCTTCCGAGAGGGCCCATAGCAGGACCAAGCAAGACGTTCACGCCCTTGAGGCGGGCTTCTTGACCGTGGGCTTTTCCGCGTAGGTACATCAATTCCTTAGACCATGTCGCGCCGGTGGTGATACCGGCAGGAAATGCGGTGATGTTGTCGGCGAATCGAATACCCAACGGACCGTCCTGAACACATCAGTATAGTCTTGGAGACATGCGGAATGTACGTACCTGTAGACACAAGCTGGGGAACTTCAACCTGTCTACACGCCCAGTCTGGCCGACGCAGAGATCCATGCTCCAGCCTGTGCCTGTTGTGATATTGACCTTCTCAGGCAGCGTCATCTGCTTGACCAGGTCCGCAGCCCTCTTGTAGCTGTCCTCCCATGCCTTGTCGGTGCCACCCTTTGGCGAAGGGTACCACGGCGGACTCAGCCCATCCTCAGGCACCGAGACCTTGTATGCCCATATGCCACCCGAGGCGAGTATCAAGACGGTGGCGGCGACAAAGACCAGCAGCCAGCAGCAGCACCGTCCTGGCGCACACGGCGACTTCCTTTGCTGTGTGGGAAATGGCGCCGCGGACTCGGTGTCTCTGTAGGACGCCTTCCGGACCTTGAGGTCGCCGGCACTTTTCTTGCGCCTGATCTTGCTATCGAATGCAAGTGGGTCATGTTCTTCAAGATCTTCTAGCGTCCCGTTGGATTCGGAGGAGAAGCGCGTCGGGGTTTCGACATCGTCGTCGACGGGGTTGTCGAGCTTGGCGTACTTGCCACGGCGCATTTCGTGGGCTTCGTAGGGGGGCATTTTGGTCGGATCCGGGGCCTGCTTTAAGGGAAGAGGTGGAGGTGTTGTGTCGTTCGCGGCTCAAACGGCTGTGCTATCTATGACGGCGCGAGCGTGAAGCTCTATGATGTTGAGGCTAGCATTGAATGTGATAACTCAACAATCACGGGAGTGTGATGGATCAGGGAAAGAGGATGCACAAGATGTTTCTGTAGGACAGAAGACACCGCGTACACAGCGAGAGTCGTGGTTCGAGACGAATGTTTCACCGGGCTGGCTTGCGCGCGATGGCGTCTTGTCCCTGACTAGGTGCCGATCTCGTGGGTCAGCTCCCGCCGCGCTTGCGTCCAGGCGGGCCTTCTGATTGCGCATCATCCACGCTTCACCAAGCCACTCTGATATTGTTTGCATACATTTTGTATTCATGGCTACATTTCTCAACGCTTTGGTTGGTCACTTCGATGCTTCACAAACTCTTTTCACAAGCCTATCACCTTCCACGCTTATGCGCCGACCTGGTCTAGTATGCCCTGCAGGTTAATCGACTTGGGGCGCTCGATAGGCAGACCCAGTGCCCTGTCCCAGATCAGCTGTGCAAGCGGGCCTAGACCACGGCTGACACCGAAGGTCGCTGTGTAGTAGAG